GATAAGCTGATTTTGAGGCATTTGTTAAGGTGCTAATTAAGTCAGTGAACAAGTTGTATAAATTTAACACTGGGAAAAACCCAAAACTACAAATCTCATTCTCAAATACAAAGTAATTAAGCAAAAAAGGATTCTTAAACTAGGGAAAATCCTCTTATATCAAATAAATTATTACAAATAAGTACCCAGTTGAATATAATTTCAAGATCTAATAGATGCTTGCTTTATGACCAGATAATACCAAATTGTATCAAACATTCCTGCTCAGGATGTGCCTGGTTTCCATTCTACTTCCACTTTCAAATGATCTGTGTATAGGTAGTTCTCAGCGCTCCTGGTTTTCCTTCTGCCTTTCTCACTGTTCCTTTCTCAATCTTTCTTCTCCCCATGTACCCCTTTTGACCACTCCACACAACCTCCTTCACTCCAGATCTTATCAATAAGCTGGTTGCAAATCCAGAACTGCAGTAGCCTCACTGAGCTTTAGATATGCCCCAATTATCTACCAAAAATCCTCCTAGGATGTTTCATAACTTCCCTTCTCCCTCTAACGTGCCTTAGCCATTGCCAAAATTTATCAGAAGGTTGTCTCATAGTTTTGTTTATCACTATTTTTCTTCAACATCTTCTTAATGAAGTTTAACATACCATGAGTTATGAAAATGTGTAAACTATCAAGAAAACCTGAAAAGAACTTAGTAAATGAAGTACCCTTCTGAAGAAACTGATTAAACTTCATGACTTCAAAATAAAACTAAAACCAGTCAGGTGTGGTGCCATGTGCCAGTAGTCCCAGCCACTAGGGAAGCTGAGATGGGAAGATCGCTTGAGCTCAGGAGTTCGAGTTTAGCCTGGGTAATATGGCAAAACCCTATCTCTTAAATAAAGCTAAAACAATTTTGCATTTCCATAATGTCTTATCAAACTGCTTTTATATTTATGACAACAACTCACTTTCACTGTAAGATAATTTTATTAATGAAAAAAACAATGATACTAAGAATTTAAATGATTTGTCTTTGGTTACAATTATCCAGATGTACAGGTCGGGGCAAAAATATATATATATACACACACATCTATTCATTTTTACTCCTGCTTAGATGATAAGTAATTAGTCTATATTAGAGCTTCTTAAGCTCTGTGTCTGCCAAGATATTGATCCCCTCTGCTCTCAGGGGAGTCACCTGGGTCAGAAACCCAGGGCCAATTACCAGCAGCCACATACAGCTTCATGCATTTACCATAGTATAGCAGTGGACCACAGAAATAGGATTTTTTGATGTGTGCCAAGAGAAGCAGGTTGGGAAGAACTGCGTTTAAGGTATTTCATACTATTTAGTATAGTTAATTAATTTTTAAAAAAATTTTAACAATTTTAAGTGAGTTATTATCTTAACACAAAATTTAGAAATTTATTTTAAGATTTAAACTAACTGCTTTCATCCCCATTAACAGAATACACTACTTATTAGAAATAAGCAAGCACTTTGGTCTCACTATGATATACTCTTCATTAGTAAGGCAGCTAAAACTGGACAGCATCATAGTCCAAACTAAAGGACATCTTTAGCTCTCCTCAGTTAGCTATCACTGTATTCCAAACACTTACCAAAAAGAGGGTGGAGACAGTAACTCAGGAGGACAAATTCCAGACGTGATTAATAATAATACCTAGTTACCTGAGATGCTGAAATAGCATGTATTGACTTGTGACTATGTATGACTGTGGTTATTAAGAAATTCATTAAAATGTCTTACACATCTAGACTCAAAGGGTTCTAAAGAGCAATTCTCTTTTGGAGGGGGTTAGGGGTAGGAAGCCATGGAAGAAATTCTCAGGTTCCCGCCAATCAGGAATTTTTAACTGCATCTTACCTGGTTTTTATTTGGATTCTCCATGAAGACACACTGCTTCATTATGTAGGAGACAACAGCATTCCCTCCTAACGCAGCAACATGAGCTCTCACCATTGCAAACACTTCAGCAATAAAAGCATGGAGAAAACCACTGACTCCTCCTTCCTAAATAATAACGCACAGGAAAATCATACCATAGATATGGATATAGGAATATATACAAAATGTCAAAGAATATATATTAAAACATCCTAAATTATCTTAATATACCAAATAACTTAAACTTCCCTCACAATGGGGATTTACTGAATGAACAAACATTGACTGAACACATGTCCAGGCAAGGATTTACTACATTTACTTTACAGATAATAAAACTGAAGCCCGGAGAATTTGTAACTTGCCCATGACTAGCTATGATCAAACAGCTAGTAAGTAAATGGCAGGGCAAGAATTCAAATTGTGCCTCTACCTTCAACATCTCCATTAAATCATGCTCATCATCATTAAAACAAATTGATGATAAGCCTAAACAATTAAACTTACCTGCTATCCATATCTCTCATTCTGAACCTGAACCATGTTCAATCAAACTTGCCTTTTTTTCAGTTTCTCAAATGCACAAGCACTTTTCCTACCTCAGGCTCACTGGCACATGTTGCTCCTGAAGACTTTTCACTCAGTTTTTTTTTTTTTTTTTTTTTTTTTCCCCCACAGAACAACTCATTCACTCCTTGGTCCCAATTTACCTATAATGTCTTCAGAGATACCTTCTCTGACTGTGAACTATAAGTTGAATTCCTCTATTATATTCTCTGATAGCCTCTGTTCAATTTCTTTATATTACTTACTCTCCCTAGTAATTAGATACTAATTATATGATTATTTGTTAATGTCTACCATGCTCCAGTTCTACTAGATTGTAAGTTCCATTAGGTCAGGGACTGTATCTGTTTTGCATACAACTATATGCTAACATCTAGTTCAACAGGTGCATATAATAAGAATTCTATACATAACTGTTAGGAAATAAAATCCAGTAGTTCAGGGTACTTTTTCCATATTCAAAAACAAGGAAAACAGAAATCAAAGGCTAGTCAATAGCTTAAAATGCTTTTCAACCTAGGTTTCCACAAATTCTATTGTACTTATTTACGGTCTAGGAGGAAATTTCCAACTTTAAACTGGAAGGGGAAAAATCCATCTTTCTGAAAAGCCTGAGGATACTACATATAGTTTTGTAAAGATATCTCTTTTTGTAGTTAAGGAATTAAGGGAGTTGCTTCAGCCTGCCTCCAACTCAATCATAGTTCAGTATATTTTTCTTTGACTTTTATCAATTTCCTCCTGTTTATTAAATCAAAAAATTCTGATGACACAGTAGCTCTGTAGAGGATTAATTTAAAAAATATTAATTAACTGTAAGGAAACAACTCAGGCAATTAACACATTTGGAATATTGTGCTACACAGTTAATATTATAAGTTTCTGTTGAAGGAAAATCCACCAAGAAGCAACATTTTGAGGTATGGGAGCTTAAGTAGTCAAGAAGGCTTAGAAAATAAAATTTTATGGATTCAAAATAGTGTAATATCCATGTGCTACCAAGAGCAAGTAGAAAGGTTAATTCATAATACATGCCAGCTTTTTGCACCAAATCTTTGTCAAATGTAAATGGATGTAGAGAAGTATCATCTATTTTAATTCTCTATCAAAAGGTTTTTGAGAATATCTTGATATTTTTCATCTTAACATAATTAAGAGTGATATAAAAACTAATTTATCTTTTTTTGGGGGGAGGACAGAGTCTCACTCTGTCACCTAGGCTGGAGTGCAATGGTGCAATCTCAGCTCACTGCAACCTCCACCTCTCATGTTCAAGCAATTCTTGTACCTCAGCCTCCCGAGCAGCTGGGATTACAGGCACGTGACACCACGCCTGGCTAATTTTTCTATTTTTAGTAGAGAAGGGATTTTGTCATGTTGGCCAGGCTGGTCTCGAACTGCTGGCCTCAAGCAATCTACCCGCCTCGGCCTCCCAAAGTGGTGAGATTACAGGCGTGAGCCACCATGCCTGGCCTAATTTACCTCAAAGAAAACATCCATCTAAGTAATTAAATAATCTGTCAGAAGCTATTCATTCATTTACACAAAAACATATTGTGTTTACTCTGTGCCAGCTAGGCGCAGGATGGTGAGTATGTTATTAAAGATAGCGTGCAGGCTGTTATTCCTAAGAAAGTATAGAAACACTGCTGATGAAAAAGGGCACAGCTAAGTGTGCCTTATTCGTCTTTATAATGAATATACTTTTTAAAAATACAAACTGCAGCTAAAGTAAAATTTGAAAAGATTATTGGATGTCACACTTTAGTAATTAAAAAATTTCCCTATTCACAATATTAATTTGCTTGGTAGCCCCTGTTCCTTAACATATGACATTATATAATTTTTTTCAGTTTACATTCCTGTGTTAAAAAAGATATAACAGGCTGACTCTGATTCTGAACTTTTTCCACATCAAGTAAAATATTACAACTTGTTATTTAAAAACCAAATTAAAGTTTAATGATACTCAGTGTGAGATAAGATTGAAGAAATGTCATCCTCATACACTAATGGAAAGAGTAAAAGATGAGTAGCTTCATTCCTTTCTCAGTAGGAAGAAACAGCAGAGCTAAATTATATATCTATAATACAGTCCTCTATTATTTCTAAATGTGATCTGTCAAAAGTTGCTAAATTACTGAGAAAACGAAGCTGTTCTTTCAGGGCTATTTTAAACCTCTATTTGAACACAGATATTTGTTTTATTTACTATATGATAAGGTTCTAAGATTTTTAACAATAAATAGGTTTAAAACTAACACAATTCTTGTGATAATCCTAGCTGCTAAATGAAATAAACTCTAGACTCAATCCAGATAGATTATTAAAATATAAATAAATATTTGTAAGTTATTTTTGGCAAAAAATAACAATTTGAAACTTGTTTGGTTTTGTTACTAAATCTTCAATCAGAGAAAACTCAAAAAAACAATGAAATAACTTCTATAAAATTACCTCCCGAAGAGAAGTAGTCTCTCGAATAAAAAACATGTTAATTATCCCAAGATACTTAGTTATTTTTGCTCCAGGAATAAAAGAAAGAGGTGTCATCTTAACAACCCCAACTGTGGAATTTGCACAAGGTGGAGCAGAACGATTCCGGAAATTTCCATCACCCACTGGACTTGCTTTTTCAACTGTCACGGCTAAAATTGGAGAAAGAGGAGAAAACATTCAGAACAGACGCTGGTAACACAATTATTCCCTGAGGTTTCCAAATAAGTGGTGACAACATTCAGCTGTCTGTGAGGCTAAGCCATGTCATGAAAGAAAAGAAATTATCATGCACTGCATGCAATTAAAAAAGAGAGACAGAAAAACATGAGAGGAAATGCTGGAATGGAATTCTTTTGGAAGAAAAATGGCATTCCTGCAAAAGAAAATGTTGATGCAGTATAGCTACACACACAATGATTGGTTATAAAGTGAAGAAAAAGAAAAAGCGGCAGAGCATTAAAATTATCTGCTGTAGGAACAAATTATTACAAGGAGAGTGTGAAAGTTGTTATATTTCCCAGCGCAATTTTTCCATCTTTTTCAGATGACTTCATCATTGTCAACTTGTAGATAAACCTTATGTTATCTAATTGTAAGATATTTGCTTTTTCCAAACCTTTTTGAAAACCAACTCATAGTTTTAAAAGCTTAACACAATGACCTCTGCTAGCTAAAAGCTGGTTGTTTATAAAGTAAAAAAAAAAAAAAAAAACAAAAAAAAAAAACAAAAAAACAAACAAACAAAAAAAACCAATAGCTACCACTTATTAAATAACTGCCATAAGACAGACATATATATATCTAATCCTTACAACAAACCAGAAACATAGGCTATCATCATCATCCCCATTTCATGTATGAGGAAATGGAAGCTTAGAGAAATTAAGTAACTTGCCCAAGGTCTGATAGCTATTAAAATGGCACTTCTAGGATTCAGAACCAGATCTGGCTGGTTTCACATCCTATGTTATTTCCTGTGAAATGTAGTTTTTTCCCCTTCTAATATACGGTAAGCTCTTTCACTCAAATACATTTACCTCAAAATTTACCAAAACACATGGGGTAAAGATCACATATAAGTAATGATTCTGATTCTAGCAGTAAGGTAATAACTACTTTCTCTCCAGAAATTCTTTATTCGTTTAGCCCTCTGCATTTCACACTTAATAAACCAACAGATGCCACATACTAAATAGTACCTTGGGTCCTGGAAGAATGTCTCTTCAATAAGAGAGTTGGTAATTTATTTTCAACTAGAACATATATATCTATTTATATACTTTTAAAAATGCCTGCACAAAAAGGAAAATTTTAAAAACACAATTCTATAGGTAAAACTAATAAATCTAAAGGCCTTTCAAAAGCTTTTCCTAAATGACCATTAGAGTCTGCAGCTTTCACACTCTAATACATGATGGATTGGCAATGTTATTACTGGGTAGTAAGGTCTAGCTTTTACCACTGGGAAATCAGGGATATGTTTCTCAGATTATCATAATGTGGTAGAAACATCCGCCTACTTGTCTTAATTGATCCACGCCTTATGGTCTGAGCTTTCAGTTTAATGAGCTCTATCCAGCTGCTGCATCTGTCTGCAAAGGAACTGTAATCAACTGACGTTGCTGAAAACACAGACAGAAAACAAAAGAAAAAACAAAGAAAAAAATATGGATGATGTCTCTTACTCGTCTTAACACTCCTTTCGATGATGTAATTTAACTGTAACTCAGAAAAAGAACGGTCCTTTTCAAGTCAGATAAGAGAGATAGTAAAGAGTCAAGCTTTAGACACTGATTTGTCCAAAACCAAGTTCTCAGTTAGCAGGCTGAGCATTTTTGGTGATGTCATAGTTGTGTGGTCTCTTAGGGAGAGCCTGATTGGGGTCTAACATAAATATCACTGAAAGGACCACATACTGTGCTTTAACTAACTTTATTTCCTACTCTTCTTAATTTATAATATTTCAGTTGTTCCTATTTTATAATCAAAACTTTGTGAATAATTCATTTCCCTAGTTTTACCCTAAAATTTAAAAAAAAAGAGAATCAAATGTTGAAGAACACATTTAAAAAAGTTACTAGTTGACTTATCTGTTATTAAAATATCTTCTTTCTACAGTTAGTAAGAGGAAAACCAAAGGGCCATTTTTGTTAATGTTTTGTTTCCATGTCTGATTTTGGGCAATGAAGCCTCTGATAATACGGGGTTGGGGCAGGTGTGAGCCTCACAAGTTCCCCCTTTTTAAAAGAATAACTTTTACTACTGCTAAGCTGGGAAGAAATTTTAAGGAGCTAAAATTTTATGCTTAGAAACTGGGAAACCATTAACATACTAAAAAATTTAAATATTAGTTTAATTGATGTTTTTTAAAAGAACATATTCTACCTACAAAAAAAAAAAAAAAAAAGCCAGATTTTGGTGTCTATGCCATATTGTCCAGTGCATTTCTTTGATGTCTATAATTTCATGCACCACCAAACTAGAATTTTACACCTTTGGTGACTATTTGCTTAATTAGACAAACTCACCTCTCTGTGCAGCTGGTATACCTGAGTTAGAACTTGCACTCTCCAGGTGTTCTAATAAGACAATATGAACAACATTAGCTCGGATGCTAAGTACAAGCCAGTACCTCTTCTTTGTTATTTGTTAATACCTCTATAAGCCAGAAGAATAGGAGGAAATCTTTATGGCTTCATTGCAAAAGCAAACCAAATAAAAGCATTTAGGTTTAAAATGCAGTTTCTATTGACACATGAAAACTAGCTCAGTTCATAAATACCATGCCAAAGGAGACTACTTGCTTACTATAACACAAAAAAAGTTTCAGAAACTTGATAGTCACAAGAAAATATAAACATAGTAACAAATGTGAGTATGATGAAAGCAGGATGTGAGACCAGGCAGAGAAAAGGGCCAATGTGTTGGGAAGAATAGCTGAAATGAAACATAGAGGGGAAATGTTTGCTGTGGGGAAGAGCCTGTAAGATTAAAAATTACAGACAAGATAATGATTATGCTTCATAGATCAGCATAAGCTGCTCCCTAGTCTTAACTCTCCTCACCACCAACTTCTTCATTCAAGGACTTCGATATCAACAGCTCCCTCTGGTGGTATCAAGACTTTGCAAAACTAAAAAATGAGTTATCACAGAGATAACTAGGAATCCCAGGCAGTATCACTCCCTTTCCAGTAACCTCATAACAGTAGCATCCAGAATTTTCCCTGATATTTTTTATTACAGGTATTTAAGGTATTGTACAGATTTAAATAGCACTATAAAAAAACTTCATAATCTATTTTTAATGCTCATGTTCTACCCACATTAGAATATTTAAAGTTTTGTTTGAAAGAATTTTACAACTAAAAGAATAGTGTTGCCAATTTGGAAATAACTCATGAAAAGCACTGAGAATAATTTCGGTTGGCCAGTTTAAGTATAGATAAATTGATAGATACAATTTTTAAATTTCTACTTAATGTGATTTTTTTGATAACATGCTGAAATTTAAAAAACTTTTCAAAACATTATTTGTACAGAATGTTTCTACCATAGAATATTGCTGCTAATTGAAAATCCAATGCAAGTATCTCACCACGACTCACCAACACAATTTTTTTTTTTTTTGAGACGGAGTTTTAGTCTTGTTGCCCAGGTGGGAGGGTAGTGGCACGGTCTCAGCTCACTGCAACCTCTACCTCCCAGATTCAAGTGATTCTCCGGCCTCAGCCTCCCAAGTAGCTGGGATTACAGGCGCCCACCACCACGCCCGGCTAATTTTTTTATATTTTTAGTAGAGATGGGTTTTACCATGTTGGCCAGGCTAGTCTCGAACTCCTGACCTCAGGTAATCCGCCTGCCTCGGCCTCCCAAAGTGGTGGGATTATAGGTGTGAGCCACCACACCTGGCCCACAGTTTTTATAAAGTAACTGACCACTAGCTAATACTGCAGCATATACAGAGCTGATAAATAAAAGGGATCACCAGGTGGGGTTCACGAAAGGCCTGTGAGGATACCACGCTGTGGACATGCCCTGACCATCATGCTCGCTGACTGGAGATCTAGACAGGAAAAGTCCTCCTGATTCAGGATCTTGAGGGACTTTGGAAGTCTAGGAGATGAGACCTACAGAAAGACCAGCACAGAGCTGACACTCAGAGGCTTACCTGATCTGCAGGGACACTCAGCACAGAAACTGACTCAATGGAGACACTGGGACACCAGCTGTCCTACCCCTAACTTACATATCCCGAGAGGGTCCTGAGGCTCTCATATGTCTTGTGCAGTATAGATTTGGTTGGTGTAGAATTACAGAACATATAGCTGGTATTAGGAATTCCGTGCATTTTTTTAAACTGCAAGGGAAAGAGGAATGGCTTAAAAATTTCTGAAAAATCACTAAAACTAAAATCTTTTGTATACCTTGATATTATCTGAGTAATATCGAATTCCCTAGTAGGAACTGCGTATATTTTAATGGCAAATGTACAAAGAAAGAGCTTACCTGAGTAGGTATTAAGTATCTGTTCCCATCTCTAATATCAAGTGGAAAAAACAAGGTACACAATGATATGTAAAATACTTGTGTTTTTTAAAAAGGATGAATAGAGTATCTTTGAAAGACAGACAGTAAACTGTTAAAAGTAGTTGCCTCTTGGGGAAGAAAATGGAGAAGGGAGCTTTATTCTGGACTATATGATTTTTGTAGTATTTGAATTTTTCGCGATATACATGTATTACTTTTACCCCACAAAATTTATAAAGGATGAAGAGGGAAAAAAGGGAGGGAAAATGTTTATTCCCTGCTCTCAAATATGAATGTATCTGAATAAAAATCTGAAAACCAAAGTTTTTAAGGGAGAAGATTTTGATTTCACTTAGGGAGAGCAGGTTCATCTTTTAACATGCTTGCTATCTTAATTTTTCTCCCAGAAAAAAAACGCCCAAGAGGCCCAAGGCCAGCTGGTCCCAGCAGCAGATAGACATCAGCACCTTGGACTGGTTTGAATACCTCAAATGTCTGATGACCTCAAACTCCCAGGCCCTCTGGTCCTCCTGATCAGAGTTTGGCTTCTCAGGTGATAGGCTTTTCAAAAGAGAAGGTACTGCAGATACATGCAGTCTGGCTCACTGACAAACTGGGAGTTCTGATTTAAAAGAAATAAAACAATATGCAATCTCTAGGCTAATACTAATTTAAAAACAACATATTTCATTATTCAAGGTAGAAATCTCCTCAAGTCTTTCAGACTTTGTTGAGTTGTGCTCAGTTGTGTGCCATTTGTAGATCTATATGGAAGAGTCTGAAACAAATGCTTTTTATGTCAGATCTCCCTTCTAGCTGCAGAGTCGCAAGCCACACAACAGTCCACTTCTCTTATAATTTGGTTTCCCATTTAATACAAGAAGAAGATTATTTTGCATTTTTTTTAAAGTCACCATTAAGTGATAACCCTGCAAGCCCCAAATAAATGACCCTAGAAACTTAGCAAAGCAAAACAGGGCTATGGTTTTATTATTCCCCTACTGCACTCTAGCAATATTTAACAAGCCCTGTGTCTAGTGGTGTGAGAGGGAAACTAACCCAGGTTAAAAGCAATTTAGTGGAAATGAGCATATGATTGACAAAAATGATTCTTCTTCCCTCAAACAGACAATCTCCAGTGCATCTAAAGTCTGAGACTTTTCCATTCTTCTAAATAACTTGTCGTAACCAATGGCAAAGGTATTTGTTAGCTGCAGCGATTATTTGAATGTATGTGCCCTCCAAAACTCGTTGAAATTTAACTGTCATTGTAACAGTACTAAGAAGTAGAACATTCTGGCCAGGGGCAGTGGTTCATGCCTGTAATCCCAGCACTTTGGGAAACCGAAATGGGCAGGTAGGTTGAGCTCAGGAACTCAAGAACAGCCTGGGCAACATGTTGAAACCCCATCACTACGATAAAACATAAACATTAGCCAGGCGAGGGGGTGCTAGTGGTCCCAGCTACTCAGGAGGCTGAGGTGGGAGGATTGCTTGAGCCCAGGAGATAAAGGCTGCAGTGAGCCAAGATCGCAGCACTGCACTCCAGCATAGGGGACAGAGTAACACCCCGTCTCATAAAAAAAAAAAAAAAAATTAGCCAGGCATGGTGGCAGGCACCTATAATCCCAGCTACTTGGGAGGCTGAGGCAGGAGAATCACTTGAACCCAGGAGGCAAAGGTTGCAGTGAACCGAGATTGTGCCTCTGCACTCCAACCTTGGCAACAGAGGGAGACTCCATCTCAAAAAAAAAAAAAAAAGGAAAAAAAAAGTACGACATTTAAGGCCTGATTAGGCCAGATCTCCACCCTCATGGATGGGATTAGTGCCATTATAAAAAGGGAGGTTTGACCTCCTCTTGCTCTTTTTTTGCCCTTCTGCCCTGTGATAACGCAGCAAGAAGGCCCCAGCCAGATGTTGGTACCTTGATACTGGACTTCCAACCTCCAGAAGTGAGAGCCAATGCATGCCTGGTCTTTATAAATTACACGGTCTCAAGTGTTTTGTCACAGTAGTACCAAACAAAGATAAATACAGTAATAAATTTCTACACTGATCAGTACCTTTTTTGACTACCCACTTTATATCATTCGAATTTACAGATCATCTTTGCTCTAAATAATTAAAAAATATTTGAGAAAATCTTATCTGAATGTCTTATAAAAATTACTAAAACTAAAAAAGTTACTACAAATGATTAGTTACTACAAAAGTTAACTACAGTTACTACAAATGATTCTCTGGCAGATTAAAATATATGCAATTGGGAGTCATTATAATTTATGTTTTATTTTCCTATTTAAACATTCTCAGTTTTATTACGATCAAACCTGGGTTTTATGTTTCTTTAGGAATTTCCATCAATCGATACTGCATTGATTAGCTATGCTTTATAAATATAAAATCTAACTTCATGACTGGGGTAGACAAATGATATACCTAAACATTCAGTATAAACCTGATCTATAACAATACTCAAATATTGATGAATTGATAAGGAAACTGCCATATTGCAGTTACAAATTACTAAGGCAAACCTAAAGATAAAACTAGCTTCAATTTGGACAGTTTACAAGAGAAAAATTCAACTGTGATATCTCGGTAGTACATATATTAGATAACAAAGACAATTAACTTCCCTATTTGGGTCATTTAAGTTTCTAATTAAAGGTGTACGACATCCTAAACCACTTGCCTTTCTTCTTCAATCTGCTTCTTACATTTTCCTGCTTCCATTTCCAAGCATGCAATCCCCCTCTCACTCCTATCTTTTAGAGCTTCTCTTCCACATAATTCATTTTCTGTCAGTAACTCAATGCAATTTTTCTTTGCTTTTTACTCCCTCTTCCTCTAACTGTGGATTTCACTGTCCTCAAGCTGCCTTGAAGAAGCTACTGAGATAAAGATTCTTTATTCCTATTTCTCTATCAATTTTTTTCCTTCCTTCCTTCCTTTCCTTTCCTTTCCTTTCCTTTCCTTTCCTTTCCTTTCCTTTCTCTTCTCCCCTCCCCTCCACTCCCCTCCCCTCTCTTCCCTTCCTTTCCATCCTTCCTTTCCTTCCTTCCCATTTCTTGGATGAGTTTTTCACACATTTTCCTCTAGTGAGTTTCTGGTTTTTGCATTTTCTTCCCCCGAGCATCTCTTTCCTTTTAAAACTTGCCATTGATTATTTGGTCATCCAATAACATCAAGAATTTTAGCAGCTTTTTATTGTTGCTGCCACTTGGTCATAGTGACAAAATGTATTTTTTTAAAAATAGTAACAACAGACAGGCAATGGACTATTAATATATAAAAATGCTTTTAATTAGTATAAGGAATTATATATAGTCATAAGAATTCAAACTGTTAGTTGGTAGGAAAAGTAAAAGATAACTTTTGTACTTTTTACAAATGTACACTTCTAATTGCTAGTTTAAAATAATGTTAGCAAGACATTAAACTTAAACAGTTAAACTATTTTAAAATCAAATCTGTGAGAGACACTGTCTCTAAAAAGAAAAAAATCTAACTTGGTTTAACAAAGAAAAAGTAACTCTTGTAGCCTACAATAAAAAACTTCCGATGTAGACACCTAATTTTGAAGTACAATGTATTGTGGGTATAAGCCAACTTGTTTTCTTCTATATTGAAATCCAGATTTTAACCTGTGCTTGCCACAGCAGTCAGCAGCTAATGTAATGAATAGAGTATTCCTGCTAGCCTATAGCTTATGCCACTGAACGTGAGGAAAGTACTCTAGTAAAAGCAAAAGGAAAGCAAGAAACAAGATGGGTATTTAAAAATATATACATATCTTCTATATAGTTTCACTCAATGGCATTTAAAACTAAAATTGACTTAATTAAACCTTTTTAATTTTTAAACGATCAGTGTTTTAATGAAAACTATTATCCTACCTTAGGTAATATTTTTTTAAGAACTTGAAATATATTTCAAGTGGTATATAATTTATACACACTTGTCTAATCTAAGTTCTTAAGCCTTACAATACAGCAACTAATAGCTCAAGATGTAAGCCTTTAGATATTTCTCTGAAGTAATATGCTAACCTTTTATAAAAATTACATGTATAAAATTCTTGAGATAAACTGAAATCTATGAGAAAAATCTTGCCGATTTTTTTTATTCTCCCAGATTACCTCAACCCAGACTCCCCCCATTTTGCTCATTCTTTTTTTCTATCTATCTATCCATCCATCCATACATACATACATACATACATACATTATTTTTAAAGTCTCTTGAAAATCATTTCAGAGAAAAACTCAGGTTTGGACATCAATGATGAGAGAAAACATGAAAACTGTATTAAAAGTTTGCTATAGCTATCATTTTTCTCATATCACACTTGTATAAACATAAATAATTTATGTTGATATCATATCATCTATCCTTTAATAAATTATTTAAGCTCAGCACCAGTTAATATATCAAATCAGAAAAATCAAGATAACCAGCAAGGTAACACCAAATCAACCATAAATTTGAGACATACATCAAACTACTTTGTTACCTTTAAAAACAAAACCAAATATAATAAACGATGGAAAGAAAAAATTGAACATGGATGGACAATTCAGGCCGAGGCTTACTCTACACAGTGAAATAAGATATACGTTATTGAACATTTCTTTACATGACATTCACCCATTTTCAATAACACAAAAAGACAATGAAAGGTTTATCTACAAGTAAAAAGATGGAAGTATTAATAAACACACTATGCTTAGTTCTTGAAACTAATCTCCTAGTCAATATAAAAGGAAATAAAAAATTTTAACAATCATCCTATTTGTGATTAAAAACATGAAATATACACTGGAATTCAAAGTTACTGAAAGTTAAAAAAAAAGCTATCAGCTTATTCAACTTAACAAAACGATTTAAAAACTATACTTTTATTTATCAGCATTAGTAATTGACTTTTAAGCCTCTTATGGATGCATATTTTATAAAGCAGACAAATCTTCTGAGCATTTATCCTTAACACTCTTACCTTCCTCTCTTCCTGCCTATTTCCACTAAATGGCAATGCTTAAATTTTTCCAGACATTGCCTTCTGTCATGTTACAACACTCGATTACTCCATTTTTAAGACTCTATTATATTTTCAGGCCTTTTCAAAACCTATCTTACTCTCAAATTTTCCAAAACATTTTGAGGTAACTTTAAAAACTATATTTAGCCCATGTCCTCCTGAAAAGACTTGAGGAAGCACAAGACAATAAATAAGCATGGAACATAAACCACAATTTACAAAACTACAGAAATATTGACAGAAAGGTACAGATATACTTTTAAGTGTTTACTGATGATTTTACAATGCAATATTCAAGGAAAAGCACATAGGTTTTACAGTTAAGCACTTAGTATAAAAAGTTTTACATATATTAGTATTAGATGTGATGGTCTCATGATGATGATGATGACAATAAAGGGTGGCATGATCAATTAATGGTTTTCAAACTTTTTGAGACCCTTTCTTCAAGTGAAATCACATACAGAAGATGGATATAAAAACACATGGAATCAAAGCTGCTGTTTCAGAAAAGTAGGGGATCCAGACACCTACCCTCAATCCCATCCTTCTCTGCTCCCTTTCACCCTGCCTCCTGGAAGGCCATGAGGTACCTCTGACAAACCTCTATGGTTCAGAGGAGCAGAATTTAAAATTAAAATTATTGGTTTAATTAATTAAAATTATTGGTTTAATTGATTAAAAGTTATTTGAAATCATTATTTATTTATGTATTTTTTTTTTTTTCTTGAGACAGGGTCACTCTGTCGCCCAGGCTGGAGTGCAGTGGCACAATCACAGCTTACTGTAGCCTCAACCTCCCCGGGTTCAGGTGATTCTACCACCCAGCTTCCTCGGTAGCTAGGACCACAGGCACATCACCATGCATGACTAATTTTTGTATTTTTTGTAGAGAAGAGACTCCTAGAGGCTCAAGCAATCCGCCTGCTTCGGCCTCCCAAAGTGCTGGGATTACAGATATGAGTCACCGCGCCCAGCTGAACGCATGTAAATTACAGAAGCTCAGTGTGACCTTGGGGACTAATTTAGCTTTTGATTTACTTTTCAAAAATGGGAATATGTTAATAATTGAAGAACCATAAACTACAGAAACCCAAGGAATTTTAAAGGTTAGAGAGAACCTTAATCTTTTCACATTTTACACATGAGGAGCTGAGGCTCAAAGAGGTTAAGCAATTGGTCCAAGTTCTCACACCTAATCCACAGCAGAACTGAGAGAAAAACACAGGTCGGTTGCTTTTCCAACCTACCTCATGGTCCCTCTCCATTCTCCCTAAAATGAGTTGCAAATATTTTAGGTACTGTTCAAATAGGACTTACTATACTCAAATTCTTATTTTCTTGTTTTTTAGTACACAAAGTATCATTTTGCATACCACATACTAACGATCACATAAGCACCAGTTATAATTCCTTTGAAAACATTTTGAAAGCTACTGCAGAAGTGGAAAGTTGTCTTTATAGACAAGTCAAACTTAGAGAGCTTAAATCTAATCTTCTGCAAAATTCAGTAGGTATTAACAATATAGTAAAACAGAGTTAACAGGGACCCCAAGTCCACAAATACCTTTTCCTACAGAATAACAATCAATCAAACCTTTGTTGATTAGGTTTTAGGTTTTTTTGTTTTTGGGGTTTTTTTTGGCCCCTATTGCAGGGTAAGGATGTAAGGATAAATGAAATTATACCTAGAAGTGATATGGAACTAATCATGAACAAAAACAAATTTCTGTATAAAGTAGATGTTAAAGAAAAAAAAAAACTTGCTGTATAGTGAGTTCAAGAAAGACTTTTCTTCTTTTTGAGAGAGGGTCTCCCCCTATCTCCCAGGCTGGAGTACTGTGGCACAATCACAGCTCACTGTAGCCTTAACCTCCTGGGATCAAGCAATCCTCCCACCTCAGCCTCCCTCGTAGCTAGGATCACAGGTGTACACCACCACATGCAGCTAATTATTTATTTTTTGTAGAGTTGGGGTCTCACTATGTTGCCCAGGCTGGTCTTAAACTCCTGGAGTCAAGCAATGTTCTCGCCTCAGACTCTCAAAGTGCTGGGATTACAGGTATGAGCCAACAGGCCTAGCCCAAGGAAGACTCTTGACAGTTCTGCTTTCTGCCTGGAAGCTGTATTTAATTCATAAATCTGAACTCACATTACCTTTGAATTTGATTTTTCCTCTATTCTTTCAAGGATATTGAGATATGCTACAATTCTCTATGGAGTTCTAAATCAGAATTTTAGGTGATGACAGAAAGGAAAAAGGATCACAGTTACCACATTACAAAGTTCAGAATCTGGAAGCAGCTTATTTTTCATCTTCGAAATATAAGACAAGATCTATTTATCTACTAAACAGACTTTGTACTGATTTAATAAAGATTCTGTTGACATATACGTAAAGTGAATATAAAACTGTTCTGTATTATACATAATTTGGTATCAAATAACGAGTAGGAATCATAAAATAATATCCATTGTATTATAAGACATAAAAGTTGAATAGCTGATTTCAAATAACTGTATCATTTCTCAAAACAAACTTAGTGAAAAACACATATTTATCTAATACATAATGCTACAAAATAAGGTACAGTAATTTTAATTTTTTTGTAATAAAAATTATACTAAAATCAGATGAGAAAGGAAAACAATACCTCCCACTTTTCTCCAAAGATTATGCAGCTCAAAATAGATTTATTGCTATTAAAGTAAGGAGCTATCAATTTGTACCGGAAAAAAAAAATTGCAGTGTCTTATATAAGTACATAACAATGTTCTTCAATTATCGCCACAGCAAAGACCGGAAGCTCATCCCTTTCTCACTTGTACTACTCCCACTCAAAACCTCTTCATATATCCTCTGAAAAAAAAAGCATTCTGTTGTCCAGGAAAATCCAAAACTTTTTGGGAAGGTTTAATTGTTGCTGGAAAAAACTTACCAAATATAATATAAATATCAAGTATTCTATGTGTGAATAGTTACAGTGGGAAATCCAAACCTTTGAAAATAAAGCTTTAACACATTAAGGTATGAGAATGGAATATCACAGGAAAAATTACCTTAATACCTTATAATGAAATTACTTGAGAAATTAAAATAAAAGGAACATTAATTTATCCCCTTTATGAATATGAAGAAACATATAATGAGGGAATGAAGGATACATTTTCATCTCAAGGTTAGTAAGATTGCCTATAATGAAGTAGCAGTGAAAGGAACTAGAAACTAGGATTTGTGTTTGCTTTTTCCCTTACTTAACCAACCTTTAACTGGTGGAAAAGGATGAGAAGGAAGTGAATCTGAACACAGTTCCAGTGGAAACTGTAAAAGTTCTTCATTATCTGTAGAAGCTAGAAAGGCAAGAAAAATACCAGTTATTTAGTAATGATCTATTATTAATTATTTTAAATTAAGAATCTGTGACAACATACATATACATATTCTCAGCTCCACCTTCCTGCCCCAATTTATTCTGGTCATTTTCTCCCTGATTTCTCCCATGGAAACCCTTCCTCTACATGATGCTGAGACTGGTGCTATCTTCCCTGGTATGACTGTTGTGAGGCTTTAAGAAATTAATATCTGTAAGTAATTTAGCACAGTGCTTTGCAAATAATAAATGCTAGATAATAATAATTAATATCCTACACTTTGTCCATTACTAGTTTTTATGCCACTTAAACCGGTTACATGTCTTCTTTGACAAATATCGGAACACATAATCATTTAATACATCTACCTGACATTAACTCACTGCTCAAATCTTATCAATGCTATACATGTAGAATGTAATCAACTTTTCAAAGTTTAGGACTAATCATGAATATTTCATTTAGCCAGTAAGTCATTCGAACTATACAAGAAAGTACAGTATCCCTCATTATGTGTTTTTCAGAACACATAGTTTCCAGTAATTTGGATTTCTTCAGAATATATTACGAATACTACTTTCTAAATTTTACTGGATTAAGGCCACCTTTGTGGATCTGTTGAACACTATGGAACTTGTCCTGAAAATAATACACAGGCACACAATTGTGCTTACTACATCAGTAGGTCCTCAGATGCCTTGAAGAACTTGCCAGAGATCGTAGTACAGAAACCCTTATATTACTGCAGAATTAATATGCTATAATTTAAGTCTAAAAAACCCAGCAGCATTCCCTATGTAAATATCAGTCAAATACCACCTAGTCATGTATGAAAAATATCAAGTCAGTCATATGCTTATCCACACAGTTAACTTCACAAAGATGAACAGAAAAAGCAGCAAATATTCTTCAAGAAACAAGTAATTTACTGAATCCACCTGTCCTGTATATTTTATCACTGAACCATAACACAGACAAACACAAACCGAACTTCCTATCCAGTAAAGATTTACCTCTTTGCAATGACTTTTCAACAGAGGTTTTTGTGGTTTGTAAAGCCTGATTTTTGTCAAAAGTTATTGCAACTGCCGTGACTGTAACCTAGAATTACAGAAACAATATGGTTAGCAAAATAATCACTGCCAAAACTAAGTTTCTTACATATTTTTTTCAGTACCATGGTACAACCTATACCAAATACCTTTCCTGGTTAAAATCCTCAACCAGAATTATATATAAATTCAGATACACAAACTACAACTATGCCAAACAGTTATACCTAAATCTCGATATTCCAGAAAGAGCTGAAGAACCTTCTCTAAAAAATGGGAACTGGTAAAATCCCACATGATGGGTACAGATCCTACTGTACACATGCTGGAGCATACGTGCACTTACTCCCTCAGATAACTAAAGTTCAGAAAAAGAAACACACATGGCCTGATACATACTAACATATATTTTGTAATACTCTGAGGTAAACTAGTATAAGTTATTTAATTATGGCAAAATTATGATAATGAAATAGATAATAAAAATAATAGATCAGATAAAGACTATTCTTTAATAATGGACTAAATCTTAATTACCTGAATTAATTCATCTTCAGGCAGAGATACTGTAAAATTTACATGGCAAAGGCAGCAGGGGATCATAGATCGTAGTTTAAAGTACAGGCTCTACACAATAGAAAATATTAGTAATGTCACCTTTTTTATTTAAAAATTTATAAAAGCTGATTTTCTTAATGTACATTATATTATAGTAAATGGAGAGTTAAAAAAAATTAAAACAAAACTGGTCCACTTTTTTTGTGTATTTTTACACTAAGGATATACTTTTTAATATTTAAGTAGACAATAAGATTTAATCATTTGTCAGTAAGTCACAAAAAACAATATAGTAAGTTTTTTTTAATGTACACATATACACTAGATTTTTATGGACGTTAAAGCTATTAACTAACAAACTATTTCTTTTATAGTATGATATAGTAAGGGGGAGAGGACAACTTTAGTATCTCACCTGCTGACAGAGGTAAGATAAGTAGGTAGGAGTGATTCAGCCCACAACTTTGTAAAGTATTACAGATAATACAGCAATATAGACACTTTTAAAGTTTCATTATCTTAGACGCATGAAATAAAATTTAGTCAGAAGGTTCCTACCTTGAGCAAATTTTCACAGAGATCATTAAAGTTCTTATTGAGAGCTTGATTAGTCAGGTTGAGGCTGCTTAATCTGATTACTCTTACTGAAGTGAACATCTAAATGTGGGGTGACAGAACATGTCATTTTATTATTTTTAACTAAATATTTTAACAGTTGATAAATTGCCAAATAATGAACAATATTAACTAACGTAGTAGAATAAGGATAGTATTTTAATTGCAATAAGGAGGTTAAAAAAACAAAACAAAACAAATATTTAGATGGAACTTATTAAGATAACTTATGTGTTATTTGCTTAAAATTAAGAAAAAAAGGTTTACCTGTATTTCAGATGTCCAATTATTTATACCGGGCATAATTTCTGTATTACAACTATAAAAGCCTGTCAAAACAAATTATAATCAAAATATATGATATTTCATTGATTTTTGTGTTAAATGACATTTTTCAATTATTACATGAAGTTCTAACTATAAAACCCTTCATTTTTTTTCTTCTAAAATTATACCTGCAGGAGACTTTAAACCATCCTAATAAATTATCATAGGTTTTTTTTTTCCATGTATAAATATAAAAGGACTAAAAATCACTTCCACCTAAGTTATGTTTTCTACCTTGGAGTAGCAAAGTACATGACAAGCTGTGACACTGTGGTAAGTTCTTCCTTTAAAGTAAAATTAGTACTGTAACAATTATGAGCTAAAACATTTATATATAAAACTAGTTTCATCTCAAAGGTAATTTTTTTGTTCACCTGAAGGAGGAGGAACATCAGTAAGTAGAGAATGGACATCTTCCATGGCATCGGTGTCATCAATCTTAAAATAGAGAATAAAACTATTATATATGTAGTAAATGCATAATTATTTCACATTAAAAAAACTATTAATAGAGTCAAGAAAAGCAGAGTCATTTTTCCCTAAGGAAAAATATGTAACAAGAAAATTCTAATATCAGTAAATTCCTCCACAGTAATAACCACAAATACTTCTAAGTGAAATATTTTACATACAAAGTACACTAAGTTAAAAAAGAAAACTAGCTCTTTCTCAAACCTTTATGAGAATATGTTTCTAAAGACTTACAAAGATGTCATAAGCAATCATTATTCCAATTTGTTTAAATTAATAAAGTGTAATCAAATCCTTTGACTAAATGCAGAACTGCTTTACAATGGAATTAGGCAGAGATAAATTTAAAGACATATTTAACAATAGGTCTAAATTCTATTTTTCTAATAAAATAAATAGGTCTAAATTCTATTTTTCTTATATCACCGTATTCCACTGTGAATAATAAACAGGGAAACTACCCAGCTGGACAGGTGCTGACATTCATCTGCATCTCAGTTTCTAAGTCCTAATCTGCAGACTTGCTAAGCTTCTTCTTCCCACATCACCCTCAAGACTTCAAGAACCACTTTCACTTCCACTTCACGTGGCTACCCACAGTCACAGTCATACCTCAACCCACTATTCCCCAAAATGCTCCACACCCAGGATCTCGAGCATTCTCCAACTACAGTCCTGTCTCTTTGTCCTCTCTTACTGGATCTTCTACTTGCCCTCTGTCCTCTGCCCATGTTTGAAGCACTTTGTTCTCATGTGCCTCTCTACTCAGCCAGGATCCCAAGATCAGACATATCAATAATGCCCTAGATCAAACTTCAGGTAATGTTTGACATCACCTGGAAGGTTTGTTAAACAGATTCCTGGGCTCCACGTTTAAATTCTCATCTACTAGGTCTGAGGTAGGGGCCCAAGAATTTGCATTTCTTACAAGCTCCCAGGTAGAGCTGACGCCACAAGTAGTTACATCACACTTTGAGCAGCATTGTTCTAAATAGTACCCTGGAACTTTTAGCCTCCTTGACCTGGCATATTTTCCATAACATATTTTCCATTCTCAGACTGTAGAGAAATGTGGGGAAAAAGTGGGGGACAAATAACCATATATGTTGGGTTTTCTACAAATTGACACTCTCACCTTAGTTAGGCCTGTGCGTCTCTCATAGATCCTTGTTACAGCCACTGGCACTGTTCCTGACTCTTTAAACCTCCAATCCCATCCCAACACTATTCTACCACCAGCTTCTGCTACACTGAGATCAAAGCATCTGATTTTTTTCTCACTCAACTTACATCTTACTCATTTATTTTTCCTGTCCTTCGATATGAAAAAGAAAAATCTCTCTCTTTGGGAGCCAACCATTCTACAGGGGAGTGCAGAGGAAGCAGATCTGGGAGGAAGGAGTCTCCATCAACTTTTCATGTGATATTTACTCTCTGGGAAAGTTCCTAAAGTGTTCTGAGTATCTTTTCATAAAGATGGATCAATTATACCTTTTGAATTCGGTAAGAAAATACTACACTCAGAATTCACAGTGTTTATATTAAAAAATGTTCTAACTACAGTAACATACAAAAAAAGTAATAATTATAGTAAGTTAAAGAATGACACTTTAATTTCTTATTTAAATTCATTCAAGTTTATGAAAATAACTTCAAAGGTTTAATACTATTGTATCATTATTTCGACCCATACATTAACTTTTTCAGAACCATCTGCATTATTGTATCAGTCACCTGGTATTGAACAAACATATGTTACCAAGTTCTGTTATTTTCAAGTTTGTTGTAATTTATATACTAATTTTTTAAATATTTATAACAGTTGCAATGATATAAAAGTATATTAATTTAGCATCTGAAAAAATGTGTATCTTAGCTTCCAAAACCTTTAAGAAATTAGTCCAATGTGACATTACCTCCAAAACAAAAGCATCTTTTTTCCCATGTGAAAGGTCTAATTCTGTAACTTCATCTGAGCTTTCTGATTGAGATCTTAGAAGTCTTGAGCGTTGCCTAGGTTCTGGGATGGGTGATCCTATAATCTCTTCAGATATCTCCTAAAAGAAATATAATTGTTTCATATTAAATGAGATTGTCTTTTCCAGTTTAAATTTTATATCTTTATATTAGTAGACACCTAGCTGTGGAGAAAAAGCCTGTAAACTATACTCAGTGAAGTCTGTACTTAAGTATAACCTTTATAACTAAACTTTTATAGAGGATATGGCAGCCTTAATGGTACGAGGATATGGCAGCCCTAATGATACATGAATCAGAAAAATATATATAACTGTCACAGACATAACAAGACAAAACTGACATCCAGTGTACACACAGGACACTACAATGTGTATGGAATTGGCAGTCCTTACAGCCCAGAAATCCAGTACTCCTGGGTGTGCATATTTTCTATTCAGCATTATGAAAGTCCTAATAGGCCATACAAATTTAAAGACTTATGTTCCTAGAAAAATTTCTAATCTTTTATATCTTTTCTTATCCACTGGCAATTTTTCAAAGCTCCACCATAGCAAAACGTGGAATATGATCAATGTATGAGTATGAATATATATATACATATACGATGCACGTATTTGCTATTTATTAAGCTAAATAAACTTTGGTAGTTACAATAATGATCCTTTTAAGGTCAATGTACGGTGCAATACTGTATGGCTTAGTGAGCTTTTTGCTGTTACATAGCCAAAGATCGCTAGAGGTTCTAAGCACCTGCTGGCCACAGTGAATGCTGGAAGAATGTGAATATGTGAAAACAAAAGCAAAAGGCATAGCCTATTGCTGATGCAACAGAGTTGTCTTTTTAATAAACAAGGAAATTGTACATAAAGTTCTTCAAAAATATATAGTTTTAAATGTTCATTGCTAGTACATACCTTAGATAAAACGCTACCACTGCACAATTTCACAATGTAATGATCTATGGAGCACTTTCACATCCATTTATCTTATTTGTACTCCAAATTAATCTGCCCTCTATAAAGTTAACATTATAATGACTACAAAATGGAAAAGAGCTGTAATTCAGAAGTAAATTAGTAGTCTGCCTAGATTTGAAAACTAGAAAGTGTAGAGCCAGTCTAGATCAGTCTTTTGATACACAGTGCAACGTTATTCCCATTAGATACCACACAACTTTTTATAATTTTACAGTAGTTTTAAATTCTGTTATGCCTTTGTTCACAATGCCACAGACTTAATAAATATAACTGTCTGGTATTTAATACGTTCTACATTCATACTGAAATTTCATCACTAGTATTGTTATTCCAAGAGATATGCATCTTATTTTGATACCTTTGATTATCTACAGAAAGCTTATGTGGTACTACACCTCTGTATTAGAAACATTTTTTAATGTATTGAGAAAAAATTCAAACAGCAGCATTTATTTCATTGAGGGCTATCATCCCAAGAGAAGGCACACCCGGATCCACATATTCAGGGTGGACATAACACAACACTGTAATGTATATAGTGGCCTGGTAATCAACCCTGTATACTGACTCTGTCAAACAAATGCTGAGAGATTATGCTAAAAGACTATAATGTAGTCAGTATCTACAATAAGGAAAGACATATTAGAAGATTCATAAACTGATGAGTACTGTTGTAAAAATATAGTCATCCTCAACACATGAAATTCATATATACTAAAATTTTTAAAATCATAATAGATTCACTCCCTCCTTCTAAATGTAAACTGTGTGACACACAGTAGCAGCTCAGTAAGTACTGAATGGATGAAGTAACTTAATTCATATTCTTATTTAAATACATCCCTGTCTCCAAAGACCTTACATTATAGTAAAGGAAGACAGATATATAAAAACTAAGTATAATAATATGTAACAGTTTCTATACAAGTACATACAGGTACAACAAGTACACAATGGAGGAAGAGTCCACTATCCCTGTGGGAGGTCAGGATGGATTTACAGAGGTAAGAAACACTATTAAGTAAAAGAGATCAGCTCATAGCATTAGAAATAATAAATGAAGAATATATGAAACCCTAACACAAAGTTTTACAAATCACTTTTCCCAAGTGGCAGACTATAAACAGATGTTCAAATATCAAAATATAACTATCAAATAAAAATAATGTACTATAAAAATAAGTAGTCAGTAAAGTGGTGCACAAAGAACTTTTACAGTCTATTTTTCAAATATAAATATGTTAACACATCAACATTTGTATTCATTTTAAAGAAGCCCTAAGTCAGTACTGTTCAATACAAATATAAAGCAAGCCACATACATAATAAAGTAAAAAGAAATAGATAAAATCAATTTTAATAAAACATTTTATTTCATTCAGTATATCCAAAATATTAAATTTTTGACACATAATCAATACAAAAATATTCATATTTTACACAGTTTTTTCACACTAAATCTTTAAAATCCAGTGTATATTTTATACTTACTACACATTTCAATTCAGACTAGTCACAAGTGCTCAAAAGTCACATGTGGCCAGTGGCTCCCACAGTGAATAATGAACAGTGCAGCTCTAGGTCATATCCTTAAAATTCCTCCCAAATTAACAACTATACTAGAATAATATGATGAAAGCTATACTTGTGACGCAACAATCCAGACACACTGTTCCAGAAGATCAGCCAGTTAGGTAAGACATTTAAAATAAAAAAAACAACAATGATGTTATAATTTCCTTTTGTGAAAGTATTTTAATATCAGAGACTCATAAAAAAAAAAAGTTTCATTCTAACTCCAACACATTTTTCTTTCAATTCAGACTACTGCCATTAGGCATCCACAGAGGAGGAAGCATTGTGATATTTATTGCAAAGTTGGTAAAAAGACTGATTAAAGGAAATGACTGGGAGCATAATTGCAAAAAAAAAAAAACTGTAACTGAAAACCTGTATTCTTTCACATTTTTACCACCGATAAGAATCTCTTTTTACTAACAAAGAACATTTTAAACCATTTATTTCATCACTCAACAAATACTAAGAGACTAATACCAAGAGAAACTTTTCTAGGCAATAGAAATAAAGCCCTCATGGAGCTTCATTCTACTGGTACTAACAGGCAATAGACCAACAAAACACACACACACAAACACAAACACACTCACAAAGATAAGAGCTACAGAAAATAATAAAAGAGGGAAAGGTGATAGGAAGTGCCAAAAATGAAGTCATAATTTTTAAATAGAATGGTTAGAGTAGGCTTACCCGAAAAGGAGACAGTTGAGCAAAGACATAAATGAGGTGAAAGAATGAGTAATAAGGAGAGCTAGTCTAAACAGTGAAAAAAAAATCTTATGTCCTCAATAAGATAACCTAAAAATATACTATTAATAATAACTGATATATTCACAATGTAGGTTTGTTTTACTTACTGGAGGATTGATTTCATATAACTCTTTGTTTTTAGCAATTGTGTCATTTATCTTCTTCTGCATATGAGAGATGTGTTGTTCATATGAGCCATCATTGGGAGTCTTCCCGGCAATCTGAATACCACCAGGAGTTGGTAAAGCTGCTAAATATACACCTGTGGCAGACTTGTAAAAAATAATGGCGAAATAATCAGAAAAAAAATCTACAGAATAACAGTCCTTACGATTTCATATTTAAGAATGTGGTCAACAGCTGGGTGCAGTGGCTCACACCTGTAATCCCAGTACTTTGGGAGGCCGAGGCGGGCAGATTACTTGAGGTCAGGAGTTCGAGACCAGCCTGGCCAACATGGTGAAACCCTGTCTCTACTGAAAATACAAAAATTAGCTGGGTGTAGTGGTGTGCACCCATAATCCCTGCTACTCAGGAGGCTGAGGCAGGAGAATCACTTGAACCCGGAAGGCAGAGGTTGCAGTGAATCAAGATCATGCTTCTGCACTCCAGCCTGGGCAACAGAGCACGACTGTCTCAAAACAAGAAAAAACAAACAAACAAACAAACAAACAAAAATCAAGAATGTGGTATAAGGAAGAATATAATCAGCATCAGGGTATATATAGGACATCTCTGGAAAGGCACACAAAAACAACTGGTAACAAGGGTTGGTTTCTTTTGAGGAGGCCCCTGGGTAGGTGGGAGACAGTTATGAAATGGGGATTTACTTTTCACTACATACTCAATTATATTTTTTATGTTTCTACCTCGCAATCTTTTTTTTTTTTTTTTTTTTTTTGAGACCAAGTCCCACTCTTACGCCCAGGCTGGAGTGTAGTGGCACGATCCTGGCTCACTGCAACCTCCACCTCCCGGGTTCAAGTGACTCTCTGCCTCAGCCTCCTGAGTAGCTAGGATTACAGGCGCCCACCATCACACTCAGCTAATTTTTGTATTTTTAGTAGAGATGGGTTTTCACCATGTTGGCCAGGCTGGTCTCCAACTCCTGACCTCAACTGATCCACCTGCCTCAGCCTCCTAAAGTGCTAGGATTACAGGTGTGAGCCACTGGGCCCTGACCTACCTCATCATTTTTAAAAATACAATTAGAATTAAAAATAGCAAAAAAATATTAAAGGTTGCTAAAAAACAAATTTTTCATGAATGAGCAGACGCTCTATCTTTAAAGGTAGCAAAAGTAAAGAGGAAACTTTTGCAAGGCAAGAGACTGAAATTCAGAAAGGACAGGGAACTTACTCAAGCCAAGTCAGTAAATGTGGACAAACGATTTAAATTGAGTGTTTCTCACTTCAAAACCCAAACTTATTTCACTATATTGCCCTACCTTCCTAATTAGCAGAGAAAATTTTTTACTTGATACAGATTTATTTTAAATATCATCTAATGAAATTACTATTTAATATCTGACTGTGAAACAGTACTACATATCATTACTACTGGAAAACTATTATGAGAAATACAAAACAAGGTAACATTTACATATATCCTTATGTGCACTTATGTGTAAATATGCTAATACAAGCAAAGCAAAAAAATAGAAGTATAAACATCAAATTGTTAACATCAACGGGGTGGAATGGGAAAGAGAAAAGACAACTCTTTTAACTCAACACCAGTCCTAAAAAGGGATTGATGAAGAAGTCTGCATAGTAGATGAAATTATTCCTCAAGAGTGCTTACTCCTGGTTTGTTCATTAGTGTCCATCACTGTATACATGACCAAGTCTCTAATACTCAACCAGGGAACGCCCCTTCGCCATGCCTATGAAGCCTTAGTCCACCACTTCTAATGCGTTTTAGCTCCTCATTAACGAAGCAACAGCCCTGAACGGCTGAGAACATAGACTCTGGCATCATATAGGCCTGGATTTGAAATCCAGTTCTAACACATGTAACCACATCACTTTATAGTCTCAACCTATCACAGTACACATTTTCTCCTCCTGTAAAGTGAAGATAATATCACATTCCTTCTGGAATAGCACAGTGCCGAACATCTAGTCGGCACTCATCAGTGATCACCCCATAAAGAAGCTACTCTTAAGACCTTACGATTTAAGTGCACAAACTATAACAAAGCACAAAGATGAAATGTCAAACCGTGGTAGTTAATAGCACTAGTGATCAAGAAGGAAAAGATTAGTATGAATCAGAAAAGCAATACTGGAGGCAAGTCTTGAATTACATCAGTGTCATAAACTAGTTTCCTGGGACTCAATCATCAAAAATGTTTGCTATAGCTAGCAAAATGTTTTTTAAACCCCTCAATTTGAATCCAGCTCTTAATTGACATGCATAGGCACCCACCCATCATTAGAGTCTTTCATCAAGCACAAATTATACATTTATGTAATGTCCTCACTAAGCATACAAATTTTTAGACCACTGAATTAAAATAACCACTTTTCCCCAAGTTACTCTAAGTATAAAAGAGAGTTTTTTTTTTTAGACAGGGTCTCGCTCTGTCCCCAGACCGGAGGGCAGTGGCATGATCACGGTTCACTGCAGCCTCAAGCTCCCAGGCTCAGCTGATTCTCCCACCTCAGCCTCCCAAGTCGCTGGAACTATAGGCACAAGCTGCCACGCCTGGGTAATTTTTGTATTTTTAGTAGAGATGGGGTTTCGCCATGTTACCCAGGCTGGTCTCAGACTCCTGGGCTTGAGCGATCTACTCACCTCAGCCTCTCAAAGTGCTGGGATTACAGACATGAGTCACCATGCCCAGCCTAAATATCAAATATTTTAATATGAACCAAGTTACTTATTACAAATTTCTGCTGTTAGAAAACTGTTAATACCTAATTAGTTTATCGTCATCATACAATTATCCTCTACATACAAAAATTTACATATTTGCTCTTAGAGAAAGATGAAACAGGGAACAAATGTGCATTCGACCTGCAAATGTATAGAGACAAAAAAGCCAAATTCCATAAATTTCTTAAAATTAAATGTCTATGTATTCTCAAAAAGATGGCAAGAGAATTTAAATTTGAAAACTGCCAGTAACACAGACAAAATGCTGGTTAGCAAAGTACCTAGAAAATGAGAGAATTTCCATAAACGTAGTTCATCAGATTCCATAAGATCAATACACATTTTGCAGGCACCTGGTTCTCTAAGTCCTACACTACTTATAGAAGCAGCACTGGCTTGCCTCATTATCATCTTTCCAGTCTGAATTTATTTGCTAACAAGCCAAAATGAACCTTAAGCTAAGACACAGCTGTTTCTTCTTCTCTTGTATTTCATCAGCACTTAAGAAACACACCTTTTTTTGTTTGTTTGTTTTTTGTTTTAGACAGAGTCTCACTCTGTCGCCTCGGCTGGAGCGCAGTGAAATGATCAGGGCTCACTACAGCCTCAACCTCCCAGGACTCAAGTGATCCTCCCACCTGAGCTTCCTGCCAGCACATCTGGTTAATTTTTAGTATTTTTTATAGAGAGAGTAGTCTCACCCAGGCTGGTCTAACTTCTGGGCTCAAGTGATCCTCCCACCACAGCCGCCCAACGTGTTGGAATTATGGGTGTGAGCCAACACACCTGGCCAGAAACACCTGTATTTTATTACACAGTCTACCACTGGCCACAGGTGCACATTTATGATAAAGCTTAATTGTCTGTCTAATAGTGTCTCATGTTTTGCTTTATCTTCTCCATCAAAACTAAAGATTAATCCACATCCTGGGGTAATTTTGTTCTGCCCACTAAGGGACATTTGGCAATTTCTGAAAACATTCTTGATTGTCACAACTGGGGAGATGCTACTATCTTATAGTGGGGAGTTGCCATGGATGCTGCTAAGCATCCTACAAAGCACAACTCAGTTGCCGGCAACAAAGAGGTATCCTGCCCTGGTACCGAGATGGGGAAACCCTGTTTTAGCAATATGTAAACAATAATAAAGTCCAGAAAAACTGTGGACAACTTATTAAGCAAGTGACAAATGGTAACTTTTAGAAATAGAATTATTAAAGTTATGATCACAGTCCCTTTAAAATATGTGAAAACCTATCACCAGATATTTCACTTCTTAAAATGTCCTCATCCCATAAAGGTCTTAATGTCAAAGTCTTTAGATAAGTCTTTGAAAAGACTCTTTGAATCACATAAAATAGAATCTACTATAATTAAAGAAATCATAAAACAAAACCAAAAACATCTAAACTTACCGCTAAGCCCATCAACATATTTTCACCCACTGTGATCTGAATTCTTAGTCCAAACAAAGCATTCATTCCTTTGAGTTTTAGTTTATTCATTAGCTGAGTATGCACTTCATATTCCATAAATGGCAACAGATTACTGATAGCTGTAGCATTTGCTTCTGCCTGTGCTTTCTTTTTTAAGCGACATAACCTGTAAATGAAAATAAGTCAGTGAACAGTATTCTTGGTACCATCTTTAAAAATGTCAATTTTTAAAACTTTCTAAAAGTGTGCTGAATAAAACATTTACTTGTTTTTAATGGACTCACTGAGTTATATCAATAAACTTTTCTGTTTTTTTGTCATTGTATAAATTTGCACTAAAAATCCTATTTCATAATGGGTACAAAAAAATAGAAAGAATGAATAAGACCTAGTATTTGATAGCACAACAGGGTGTCTACAGTCAACAATAATTTAATTGTACAAGTTAAAATAACTAAGAATATAACAGGATTATTTCTAACACAAAGGATAAATGCTTGAGGGGATGGATACCCCATTTTACACGATGCGATTATTATGCATTGTATGCCTGTATCAAAGTATCTCATGTATCTCATAAATATATAGACCTGTTTACCCACAAAAATTAAATATTTTAAAGAACCATATTTCAGTAAACAAAAATAAAAAAATCTCAAAATCTCTAAAAATGAAATAATGACCAAAATCAGTAGAGAATATCATTTAAAATCTTAGGTTTTATAACTGCATGTGTTCAATATAAATGGAAAGCAGAAGAAAATGTTACTCATTAAAAAATACAAAAGTCACTTGAGCATCTACTTCGTGCCACATAGGCTATATTCAAAGGGACAGTAATTAGACTAATAGATTATTTCTCAACAGTAGCAATGAAAGCCAGAAGACAGTGGTGAAAGAGTATCTTCAATGTGCTGCAAAGAAACAGCTGCCAGCCCAAAATATTTTTTAAAGATAAAAGTAAAATAATCACATTTTTCAGACAGACCAAAAAAAAAAAAAAATAGTTCACTACCAGCAGATCCATCAAAAGAAATACTAAAGTGTACACTTAAGGCAAAAGGAAAACAATCCCAAATGGAAGGTCTAAGATGCAAGAGGGAAAAAAATAAATGGATTAGAAATACATTTTAGAAGAAAAATCAATGGACTTTGTAATACATTTGATGTAGGGAGGTTGAAAAAGAGGATAGTATCAAAGAATACCAAATTTGGCATGAAGAACTGGATAAAGTTACCATTTATTGAAACAAAAAAGGCTAATAAGAAAAGTGGATAAAATTAGCAGTTCAACGTGGAACAAGTATGAGATGCCTATGGCTTATCAAAAGGGGATAGAAGTAGACAGGTATATAAGTCTAAAGCTCAAAAGAAAGTTCTGGACTAGAGTTATAAATTTGGCAGTCACAGATACATAGATAGCATATAGATCTATATAAGTTGATGAGTTCAACTAGGGAGAGAGCTTTGAGCAAAGGGTCCAAACCCATGGCTCTCAAAGATCAAGAAATGAGAAGTCAACAGGAGGCTGAAGATTACACATAAAGGTAGGAAAACATAGAAGGTGTGGCATCATGAAATCAAAGGAATTTCAAGGCGAAAATAATGGTGTCACTATTGCTGAGATGTCAGAACTAAGATGAGGACAGAAGTACCTGATGGATTTGGTAACCTGGCAGCTGTTGTCATGAGTGTCCCAATTAGGATTTTCTACTCCAGTGCATTTTAAAAGGAACTCTTACCAGCTAATTAAAGCAGTAAAAGAAACACTTCATGGCACTATTCTTTAAAAGAAAAAAAGAGAGTCAATTTCTAAAATGTGTTACATATTGAATGTCATTGAAGCAGTCTATACTTTGTCACATCCCTAGCCTTTGGTAGGTTAATAATTCCCAGAATGATAAATATTTGTATAGAATTTAAAAGTTAAAAACTGTTTTTGTATAAAAACTTATTTGAGTTTTACACAGAGGATTTTTTTCTTTTTTTTTTTACATGCAATAAAATACAAAGTTCCAGCAGAATTGCCCAGTTTGTGCAGGATCAAACAGGTTGGAAACTGTAGAGCTGACACTTGAAAATAGGTTTATGGCTAAATATATCATACTTTTTCAGGGACACCAAATGCTGTTTTCACAAACATACCTTGCTTGAATAAGACAACCTTTTCCAATAACTGTTGCATCTGTTGGGAGGTCTATAGTTGTAAACAGAACATCAGGAACTTTTTGTTTCCTGCAGTTATAGCAATATGTGAGATGAGCTGGAAATGGCATATTCAGTTCATCATATGGTATATGGCAAAACCCACAACGTGTAGACAAATTTTCTTCAAGCCTATATAAATAGATTAAGAAAAAAAAGACATACTTTAAAAACATACAAATTTTTTCAAAAATAATTATGTAAGTGATATTACATACACAGTACTTGTATACGAACTATCCAACTTCTACCACTGTAGGCTACAAGAGTACCACTATGACTGATAAGAATTAAAAACAACCATGAAATCAGAACCATGCATTTCTCCTATGAGAGAAAAGACTTACCAACTGCAAAGTTATTTTGCACCAATTTATTTGTGTGATGACTTATCACCTGACAAACACCACTATCACCTCAAAGTTTTTTCTCTGGGATACAACATTAAAAAAAAAATGGTTAGATGATGATGATGACATTTTCCCACTGGTTGACAAATATAACCACAAAAAAAATTCCCAAAGAAAAAAAATATTTTGGTTACCAGAGGCTGGGAAGGGTAGTGGCAGGCTGGAGGGAAGGTGGGGATGGCTAATGGGTACAAAAAAAATAGAAAGAATGAATAAGACCTAGCGTTTGATAGCACAACAGGGTGACTATAATCAATAATTTAATTGTATATTTTCATGTGCCCTATAAATATATACAGCTACTAGGTACCCCCAAAAATTGAAAAACAAAATCCAAGCATAATAGTTTTTAATTTAATGTAAAAAGTATTAAAAAAGAAAAACAGTAAGTCAAAAATAGGCATACTCTAAGATTTCTAATTTCCTGTGATAGTTTTAACTTTTTTGAAAAACCAAAACATCTATTTCATAAATGATATATCATACATAAACCACAAATGAACCATCCACAACCTCCCCACTCATTATAAAATGCTTGTCGTATTATGCTGTTTGTGAGTTCATTCTAAAATGATTAAGCATTTTTTTCATTCATTAAATTTGAGCGTGTTGGCACAATAAGGATGGAAACAGAGAGAAGCTCCACAAAAAGACTCCACACTTTCACACAACCAGATCCTCCAGAGCTCTGGAAAGAAGTGGGTGTCAATGCTCCCTAACTTAAAGGAACCCATTAGAAGCTGAAACTTGGCAACCAGACAGATTTAAAAAGTAAAGGAAAATTCATATTATAAATACCAGGAAACAAGACTTTTGCAGATTTTTTACATACTTTTTTTTTTGTTTGGATACAGGGTGTTGCTGTCACCCAGGCTGGAGTGTGGTGGTGGTACAATCATAGTTCACTGTAGCCTTCAACTCCTGGGCTCAAGTGATCCTCCTACTTCAGCCTCCCAAGTAGCTAGGACTACAGAATTTTTAACTGAATCTTCATAACTCTCTAACTCACATTAAATTACTCCCAGATATTATTCTTTTACTTTGAAGATGCCATGTTGGTATAGTACAACTAACAGAGAAGTCAGACATCTGAACCGAACTGTGTGATCCTGAACAAGAAAATTATTTAACCTCTCAGAAACTCCTTTATAAAACTAGAATATGTACCTAGAGAAGTTTGTGGGTTTCCTTAGAGATTAAATAAGAAAACTATAGCTAAACACAGTATAATGTTCACCATATAGCAGCAAATAGTAGTTCCACTTAGACTGAAACCAACCTGAGATAACTTGCTAAGTCACACTAAGCACCAAGTAGCAGGCCTCATGTTTGAATTTCAGTTTGTTTGAATCCAAAGCCAATGTGTTATAAGGGGGTATAAAAGGATGAAAACTGAAGCAATTTTTAACTAAACGGCTCACACAAATGTCAACATTAGTGGTATATATAAGGCATAAAAATAAAAGTATTAAAATTTATGAAAGCATTCGAAATATGAAATGTACACAGGGATTGTCCCTGAATAGTGAGATCATAAGGAATCTTTTTTTCCTTCTACTCTCCTACATTCTCCAAATTTTTTCTAATAAGCAACAATAATTTCATAGCAGAAAGAAAAGACATTTTCCTTATTTTTTCTTTCTTTTTTTTTTTTTTTTTTTACAACTAGGGGTAGCACCTATTGTACTGAACTACCATATAAGAGAATGTACTGTATCCACCCAAGCCATAATACAGAAAAAAACCAAGCTACAGGAAAAAGGTTATTTGTTAAATTAGGCTTCCTATCAACTTAAGAATGAAATCTACCGACGTGTAAGAACTGTATCGTACCACTGGTACAACTCACTGACAAAGAGAGTTTCTCAACACAACATTCTAATTATTTAGTGTGCTTCAAAATGCCCCACCTTCACTTTCCTATTTACAATGACCTTTAAGGCTCTGGAATTTATAATAGTCAATATCCATTTTAATACTGACCAAAGAAACTGACCAAGTTCCTCTACTAGAATACAGAACTAGAATATTTTAAATGCTTGCAAGTTTATACTAAATTTGACAAGGTACAGAATTTTTTTGCTTTCTTTTTTTTTTTTAAGATGGGGTCTCGCTCTGTTGCCCAGGTTAGAGAATAGTGGTGCCATCTTGGCTCACTGCAACCTCTGCCTCCCAGGCTCAAGCAATCAATTCTCCTGCCTCAGCCTCCGGAGTATCTGGGATTACAGGCGCCCGCTGTCATGCCAGGCTAATTTTTGTATTTTTAGTGAAGATGGGGTTTCACCATGTTGGCCAGGCTGGTCTCAAACTCCTGACCTCAAGTGATCCAACGACCTCAGCCTCCCAAAGTGCTGGGAATACAAGCGTCAGCCACCACACACTTGACATTTGCTTCCTTTCTTAATATATGCTTAATATATTAATACTGGGTGGGGGGGGGGAGTAAATAGGCACACTGTGGCATAAGGGGTAATTAAAATCTGTATTATCCAGGTAGACTCTGGTAACAAACTAATAGTTTATATGTGTGTGTGTGTCTATATATATATATATATATATATGTATATATATTTAAATATACAGTCACCCTTCTGTATCCATGGGTTTAGCATGTATGGATTCAACCAACCACAGGTTGAAATATTCAGGAAAAAAATAAAAAATCCCACAAAATTCCAAAAAGCAAAAAATGAATTTGCCACGTGCTGAGCATTACACTGAATCCATGAAAATGAAATGATGAACAGGTATTGTATCAGGTATTACAAATAATCTAGAGATTATTTAAAGTATAGGGGAGAATGTGCATAGGTTACATGCAAATACTATACCATTTTATATAAGGGATTTGAGCATCTGCAGGTTTTGATATCTGCAAGGGGTCCTGGAACCAATTCCCTATGGACAGGGAAGGACCATATATATTATATCTATAGATAATCTTGATAAAATACAGTACTTTTATTATTTTGTAAATTAAGAATTGTTTTTATAAAAATTGTTTCATAACCTGTTTTTGGACGTGAGACACAGGGAAATGAAAGGAAGACAAAAATCAGAAGATTAGTTCTATATCATGACGAAGCAAAAAAAAAATGTACACTTGAAATTCAACTGGCAATCATACATGTCACTTATCAAGATACTAGAAACAATAATGTTTGCCATATAGTACAGAATCCAATACTCCTCTGTTACTATGGGTTAGTTAGAAATTAGTGAAGTGCTTGGTCCTGATTTCTACACTGTACCACTGTAACCCACCCTACAGAGAAGAATTATCCCAACTCTGAGAAAAAAGTCAACCTCTCCCTTCTCTGCCCTTATGGAAAATAAGCCAGGCTGCCATGACAACCTCTGTTCCAAACAGCCTTCCACGGTGCCATCCTGCAGAAATCTAGGATTCAGTACAGCCGCTGTACCAGATGCAGATAAAATGCAGACCTCTTCACTATAAAGGAAAAAACATAAATAAGTTAACATTTTTCAGACAGTGTAACTTTGGAAAATGCTAAATATCAAAATAATTGTAACAGTGACAATTTAAGTTCAAGTTAGACTCTACTAAATATTAATTAATATTTATGAGGTTTAACTCCTAAACCTAGCCTAGAAAACAGAGGTAACTTTATTTGAATGGAGGACAAGAATTCTTCATAAATTAAAAATTGAAATAAAGTATTAATATTAAAGACAGTAACTTCATTTAAAATATGGCAAGGCTGAAAGAATGAAATGTTTCAAAATATATAAGCGGTAATAAATTATGTTGCTGAATCTAGCATGAATCAAATTATATTAAAATATTCTTTAAATGTATATGAAGTTTTATTAAAATTATTCTAAAAGCACAACTATTTAAATATCTCTATATAGGTGATTTATATAGCTTAATCTAAATTTAAATCATTATAAAGGTTTCTGAAACAATACATAAAATATACTAAATGAAGCTTAAACTATATCATCATATAACAGAAAACTGATATTCAAAATAATTTTTAAATTCTTTATATGTCACCCAATTTGAAAGCTAAAAAATTAAACAATCAACATAATTATTGAATGAGATAACCTAAACAAATGAGAAAAGTAGCAACCTAGGAATGAACTGCTGAAAACCAGGTATAAATAAAACAAGCCTAAGCGAACAGGGAAGGAACAGTCACCTGAACTGTAAATAAACAAAGGGAGACCAGGCTTAAAGCGTAGGTAGGAATTAAGGATGTCAGAAGGAATAACATGAAACCACTGATGCCTTCAAATCAAGAAGTTGTAAGAGCAGAAGTGCATTTCAGAGAGTTTAATCCAGTAACAGAAAGTAGCATGGGCTGGAACAGAAAAGATTAGTAAAAATTTAAATACATAGATGTTTTTGAGGTCTAGAAAGGAAAAAAAGCTTCTGTCAGATGTACTCAAACTTCTAAGTAAATTAACTGAACTCATTTGCAGACTCCTCCAACTGTGACCTATCTTCAGCCATCCTGAGTCTACATTCTATGGCCTTCTTTTTTTGCTACTCTTTTAAGCGTCGAATGCATCTTGTAAGCTTTGAAACCTCTCCCTATGCCTTTTCTTTTTATTTATATAATTCATATTCATTCCCCAAAATCCAACTCAAGCATCAGGTACTTCATTGACACTTTCTTCCAATTCTACTTCAAGCTTTCAGCCCTCTAGGATCCCAAAGCATCTATATCTCAATTTTAAAATTTATTTTACATCATAATTATCCAGTAGAATGTAAATCTGATACCAAGAACTATGTCTTCTTTATAAAACCATATCTCTGGTTGGGTATGGTGGCTTACGCCTATAATCCCAGCACTGTGGGAGGCCGCAGCAGGCAGATCATGACGTCAGGAGTTTGAGACCAGCCTGGCCAACATGGTGAAACCCCATCTGTACTAAAAATACAAAAATTAGCCAGACATGGTGGCAGGCAGCTGTAATCCCAGCTACTAAGGAGGCTGAGGTGGGAGAATCATTTGAACCCGGGAGGCGGAGGTTGTAGTGAGCCGAAATCACACTATTGCACTCCAGCCTGAGTGAAAGAGTGAAACTCTGTCTCAAAAACAAACAAACAAAAAAACCATTTATCTGAGGCTTGAAAGTTTATGATATTAAATCCATCAATGCGGCAAGACAACCAGGGAGTAAGGCAAGATAAGCATGACAAAGTTAGTAGTTAACAAGAGTAGAACAGCTACTATGGGAATAAACAGTCCAGGAGTGTAACACATGATCTGCAAAGGAAAAGAAAAGCCCACAGAAGATTAAATAATATGGCTCTGTAATGCCCACATTTACTACAGTTTAATCATTTTTCCCTAACAATAAGGATCACCACGAGAGCAGAGGATCTGACAGTAAGAATTATCTAAGAATAGATGGTAGAAAAATAAGATAGCAGGTTAAACAGTTTCTAGATGATATCAATTGTAAACTTTTGAGGGGGCTGAAAGTAGGGTTCAAGGATGGCAAAAGAACAAGAAAAGCCAGAACCTAAGTAAGGGGCTGAGAAAACAATTGGTTAAGGTAAGGTTCAAAACAAACTAGATATAAAAGAGCAAATGATACTGGTAGAAAAACGTTAAGTTGTGATCTGAGAGTAAAATTTTATAGTTTCAAAATTTTAAGGAGGAACAGTATCAAGTGATGCTGAGATCCAAAATATGGTTGAAAGTTAAGTGGGGTCAGAGGATTTGAGAATAAGAAACTATAATGCCAGCTGCTAGAATGAACATAATCATGTGTAACTGGAAGAGAGAACAGAGAAGTAACTAAGATAGGCAAAAGAATGCTTTGGAAGTAGACAACGGAACAGTAGAGTGGCATGTACTTTAAAGAAGGAGATTGTTCAAATGAAGGGAAGGAGAAAATGGAATTGAGAACCAAGAGTATGAAAGCCCCTCCCAAATTTGTCAGTATTAGGAAGAATGATTTGTTAGCAGGAGAAAGTTACATTACAGTAGGTAAAAGAAGGCAGAATGAGTTTGTGGACAAACTTTAAAGGCACATGGCAATTCATTTACAGTAGATTAAGGGTTCCAAAGGTTCCAGTGAAAGAAGTTAATACAGTTACACAGTAGAATAAAGGAAGCCTAGAGTTAATATTTGCTATGTGCCAGTATTATATTCTCATTTAATATTGATTTAAACAATTAATTGATATGTGGTATTATCTCCATTTTAATGTACAAACTGAGGCTCAGAGGAGTTAAATAACTTTCTCATAATTACACAGTCATTAACTGGCAAAGACAGCATACGAACCTTAATCTAATGTACTCCAAGGCCCATGCTCCTGACCACTTCGCTATTCTCTTTTCTTTTATTTGCATAAAGCTTTTCCCCTTTCAGATGGCAGTCTAAATTAGTGTCTAGAAAATCAAGTTATTATCATTTACCAGATGCTAGTTGATTCACTGTAGCCCACTACAGCATGACAGCCTAATGCTTTAGCATGTGATTTTATTTCTTGTCTGATTTCTGCCCACCATGCATCTCGAGTTTCTGGTTCATCTGAAAAATAAATTTTAAATCAGTTTATTACTCAACAGCACATTATCTATATGAACATGAAATGTTTAAAATAAACATACTATGGGAAGTAAAGAAGTATTATTCTATAATGGATTTTTAAACTTCCCATCTTTAAAATGTTACTTCTCAAAAGGCATAAGATTTAACATTTTAAACTCGATTGCTGGAAAACAAACCACCTATCTGCATTTGCTTTATTACGTTAAGAGATAACTAAAGGAATATATGATTAGATATAATTTTAAATGTAGACCCAGAGTTTCCAAATTCTTATCTTAGCTATGGTTAGAATTTTAGAATTAGACTAAGAGGATATCCTACATCTCACCTCACTGAGTGAACACCTTATGTGTTATATCCACAAATTTAACTTCTGATTTCATTTCTTGGTACCTATTTTTTATAACTCACTATATTGTGGATTCTTTCCAAGGCAAAGATTTGTCAATGTTAAAAGAGAGAAAGCCATCTGTAAGCCATCCTTCTATAGAGATGTGGGTCTTCAGGCAAAATACAAGAAATTAGAGACTAATTAAAAAAAAAAAAAAAAGAAAGCAAACACACTTAAAAAATTAATTCAAATACTTTGGTAATGTATATAAGGAAAAATTTCAGATATAACACTCCATGTATTGGTCTGTAATTTTTAAAAATGATTTAGAATCACAGAATTGTATTTTATTACCAAAGAGAAGTCCAATATTGCTTGTAATGGAGCACTGTAAGTGGAGCATCTGTCATACATATTTCCTAATCACTTGCATTTAGCTGCGAACTACTGGTGATAGCAGCTGCAAATTATAGTAGCTTTTCATGTACAACATGTTAAAAACAGAAAGTCTATAATTAGTATATCATAATTTATTTCTTTTTGTGGCCAATTCTCATTTGGGAACAACTTGAGATAGAAAAAAAAAATCAACTCTAAATAGAATGCTAAGCTCTCATCGTAAATTTTCCATATAAAAGACACTAATAAATCTAAAAACCAAAAAATCCAAAGTTTCCATTTTTGAATTGCAGTATATATCTGATTTTCAAAATATGTTTTTCAAAATTAGTAGAATAAGTAGAATTATACTCACTAGTAAAATAGTGAAGACAGCAAAGTAAAGAAAGGTTAAGAGGCGTGTTATAGCTCACATTCCTATGATGAAATTTTTGTTTCCTCCACAGGGAGGAGGATCAGCAAAAGGGAGAATTAAGGAGATAAAAGCCAGAACTACAAATGATGCCAGCCAGTTCTTGAATTAAAGTTTTGGTTCCAAGACAAAGCTACCTTAAAACTTTCTTTCAGAAGAAAGAAATGCAGAATTCAGGAAACTGAGAAAAACATCAAAGTACAAGATAAAATAAGGATGAGAAATAGAAAAGACTACAATATGGTATTAGCAATCAATGTTATAAATTAAGAAATGTGTGAACAATTAAGTGAACCTATTTTACACAAATACTACTTGTGTTAAAGAATTTCTTCATATTCCCAAATGAAATATATATATTAACAGCAAAAATACACTTTCAAATCCATACTCTCTTTTTCTTCTAAGACATACACACTTACGGACCAATCTGAACATCCATTTAATATCATCCTTTCCTAAAAGAGAATTTTTGTATCATAAGATGAACTATTATTCAAGTGGTTGCTCTAATCTATTAAATTACCTATGATTCTGAGAAAATACTTATCACAAATAACTATAGAAATGTATCTCAGTTTAGAAAATACCTATTTCCCCAAAAAATTGCATGAAATAAAAAGTCTAACTTTTCATAAGCTCACTAATAAAACCTACTTACTTTTTAAACCATTCTAGAAGTTTACAACATTATTTTCTAAAGCAAATACTTATGTACTATGTTCTTATAAGAATAGATTTTTCTCACATTAGGTTTGCCTACATCTGTACCACAAGTAATACATGGTAGCTTTACTGTTTTAAAAAAGAACTTTACAGAAAGTAATCCATAAACAGTGTTTTAAAAATTAATAAAAAATGGAGAAAGCTACTTAAGTTCTACATATATTTATTTTTAAAAGGCCAGCATGTCTAAGTGGGAAAGTATATTATAACAATTCCTACGAGATATCACATAGAATACAAAGTTCATTTACATTAAACTTACCTTAGTATAACACATAAAATAATCAAATAATTAAACCAAACACTATGAAAGAATAAATGGCTGATTCAAAAAACAAACAAACAAACAAAAAAGCTGAATGCAGCACAAGTGGAGCATTCATATTCTTCTGACAAATTCACAAGCAGCCTTTATTTTAACACATGAGCCACACAATTGCACATGGGGATGCCATTATTGTATTTAATAAAGTATTTACAAGTTTAATACAAAGCTAAAGAGTTACATAACATGGGAGCTAAGGAAGCAAATGGCATATGTCCACACTCCAGAAAACTTGTTAAATTTGGTTTTTGGCTAAAGCAAAAGCTCAAAGAACGAAGGGTTTGCAAAGCAGATTCAGCATACAGGAGCCAGAAACAGTGGATATTTTGGCGCATGCTTGGATCAGGTGACAGTACAGACTGAAAACTATGGCAGCTCACTGAAATGGTTACAGAAAGTAATGGCCCTAAATTCTAGGTGAAAGCAAGGCAAGCATACAGTAGGGAGCACTTAATCACAAACTGGTAATTATACTAACAATTAACTACAACTGTAAGCAAGAGACTAAAGGAAAAATTTTTGGCTACTAAATTTAGGGGGCGTTTAATTAAAACAAAATTAAGATTAATTTGTTTAACAGTAAAGAAAAGTTAAATTTATAATCAAAGCTTATTTTATACTCATGCCAGACATGAGCTAGAGAATCTTCAAGTAGTAATTATGATTCCGCCTATTCTATTACCAATAAAAATTCAGAGATATCACAGCATTTAATCCCTACAATAGAATGTTTAAGGTTTAAAAACTGGTAGCTACAGTCTTACAGGAATGTATTGTGTTTTCCTATAAGAAATACACTAATGAATTTGAATTATCTTATTCACCCTACAAAAGTACAAAATTGAGGATACTATACTAACATAAAAGCAAACATGTTTGAATCTGGCTTAAAATTTTGTGGCAACTATATATGCCACACATGAAATGATACTATTTAGTTATTTGAAGGATATACAGCTGAGATGTGAGGTCACATTTAATAAACATTTCAAAGAAGTTAAGAAACAAACCTCTTCACCTTAAACACCATGTTTCTTCTGCTAATCTACAGAATTATTTATAATTATAAAAGTTATTTTAGGAGAATTTAAAATTTAATTATATACAAATTAATATATTTTAACATATTTTTATACTCAAATTATATATTTTATACATATAAGTTTAATATACAAATTATATTTTATACTATTTTATGTTTTTCTTCTATGGGTCAAAACTCTTTGTAGATAATATCACAAATCTTTTAACATATCCTTTTAATTGCAGGCATGAACTGAGCCCTAAATCAATCCTCACTGATGTCTCTTTTAGGGGTAATGTCAGCACACTTAGATTGATATCAGAATTCATTCATTTTTACTATGTTACATTCCTAGAGCATGGCCATAGCTCGATATCTTGCCATCTTTTTAACACTTTGTTTCTGAAGTACAGGTGAAACTGGTAAAATTCTAAAACGACAGTTTATATCTCAGAAAATAACAATGTGAACAACTCAACATGATATGCCCTTATTAAACTCAACCTCTTTGAGATTTTAGGCAATCACACAATTGGCAACTAAGAAACACCAACTACCTGAAATGTTAAGTTCAGTCCATTTTTATATAGCTCTGGAAGAGAATAACTCTGCCTTGCAGATTCTTTTAATATGGTTAAAAGAAAAAAGAAATTATTCTAATGTTTTAAAGCAGATTCACTATAGTTAACAACACTGTACTGTACATTTCAAAACAGCTATAAGAGAGAACTTGAAAAGTTCCCAACACTTAGAAATGATAAATACTCAAGGTGATGGATACTCCACATACCCTGATTTGATCATTACTTATTCTATGCATGTAACAAAACAAAACATGTACCCCATAAATAAAACAAATATTATGTATCAATAAAAAATTATTTTAAAAATGGACAGTTATTCAATCTAATTTATGAATCAACAAAAGGAGATAAAATGTTAGGTTGGATCAAATAAAGGTTAACACAATGATAATCTATCATGTTAACGGACAGTATAAAAAGCTGTATTCCCAAATACCTGAAAGTAACATTCCAACTGCTAACCTCTTGAAGAAGATAAATTTCCCCTAATGAAAAAGAAATTAGAGAGTTCAGGTTCAAAGGAGTATATAACCTCAAACTGGGTGGGGATCAGTAGACTAGGAAGAAGATTCTCATTATAGAGGAAGTCATGTGCAAATACAGAGCAAACATCAAGACGTAGTCATTTGGGATGTTAGGAGGAAACTAAGATATAATCCATGTTGGACCAAACTGGAGTCTTTACTACCTGTAAATTTAGAAAGTCAAATGTGTAGTCTACCCCATAATTGTGAAATTTCACTACACACACGCATGCACACACAAACACACACACACAATGTAACTGGATTTTCATTATTCCAAAGTTACTGGTAATATAGAAAAGCTCACGTCACACATACTGTATTTATGCCATCTTGCATCTTGAACTTATTTATCTACTTCCTGAAAACCTTATTAAAATACTGAAAACCATAAGCCGTATAACTACTTTAGGTATAGTTTGTACATCTGCTTATAAGTATCTCTCAGAGAAAATCATAATTGCTGAGATTATCAGTAGAATTAAAGTTCCAAGACAGCCTACCACCTATCTCCTTTAACCAATACACACATGTGCACACACCAAATAGTGTAAGAATTACCCTAGACTGGGTGTGGACAGGATGCCTGCCTGGCTTAACAATTTTGTTCCCAGTACTCAACACAGTGTTCAACACATGGTAGGCACTCCACAAACATCCACCGAAGAAAAACTTAACTGAATTGAAACTTAAAAAAAAAAATTCATTCAGATGAGCAGATTGATATCTACATTCTATAAATATATCCTTATATAATCAGCTGACTCACACTTTGTTACCATTAAATATTTTGTAAAGTAATTATCATACTTATTTTTATAGGACATAACTACTCACTTTTGCTCCTAAAATAAATTTTCTAAACAACTATAATTCTGATAGCTAACAAAAAAGACTAATATGTTCTAATTTTGAACCATTAATCCAAAGCTTGCCTTATCACCAGAAGTTTATGAATGAGAAAAACTTAAGTATAATATGTCCTAAGATCTATAATCTGTCTAAAATAAAATCTGTTTAAAACCCTTTTAAAAATATTCTCGAAAACAAACAAAAGGCTATCTAGTGTTACACAACTTGTTTTACTAACTCAGGACTTAAAATATCAACTCACAAATTTTGTCTACATCCGGAAACTATCTCCAACTAATATATAATTACATTTTGATACCACACTATGTAACTACTTTACTTCTTCTTGACACTTCTTAAAAAAAAAAAAAAAATCTAAGCTGATATGCAGTCTCCACAGAGGAAAAAATAGCAAATTGTCCACAACTATCAAGATTATCACTGATTTAAAAATTATGTATGTTAGCTACTCAAAAATACTTCTAGTGGTAACTCAAGGGAAAAAAATAAAAGATCATACTTATTTGAAAACTGAATTAGGACTATTAAAACTTGCTCTGTAAACATTTTCCCATCTCAACGCTCAAATAAACTTGAGTTTCCAAAGGGTAGCATCCAATTGCTATGTATAATTTTAGAGCTGTAGTTATGTGGGATAATTCCCCTTTCTTTCTCTTGTATTGAAAGCAGACAACAGCCCACTTCATTTGCCACATTTCACTGGTTACTAGGTCCTGCTATTATTATACTCAAAATATCTCATTAATCTATAGTTAAGAATATAGGTTCTGAAGCCAGAGTACGCAAGTACAAACTGTGACTCAACTACTTTCTAACTATTCACCTTTGGAAAACTACTATTTCACTTTGCTCACCTACAAAACAGGATTAGTGCCGACCTCAGAGATCTGTTTTGAGGATTAAATGGCCTACTATTACAAAACACTTAAAAGACTACGTGGCACATAATAAGTTATTGATCAATGTAGCTCTCCTATCACCACCAAAACCTAGGTTACCTATTTAGCCAAGGTTACCACACAGTCTACTAATTGGTCTCCCTGTCTATAGTCTTATTGCCTTTAAGCCCATTCTCCACCCTACAGTCAATGATCAAATGCAAATGTGAGCATAGGCTACCCTTATTCTTACACACTTCTAATCCTAGAATGTCACACATAAGATCTGTAATGTAAATGCTGCATTCTGCTTCCTAGCAGCAACACTCACCTGCCTGGCCTTTCTCAAAGTCTGTTACCAAGCCAGAAACATAAGCAGCATGATAAGTAAAGGTAACATTTTTTAAATAAATTCTAATATTGAGTTCCCTTCTTCCTGCTCTATAAAAACATTTCTAGGGCTGGGTGTGGTGGCTCATGCCTGTAATCCCTGCACTGGGAGGCTGAGGCAGACGGATCACTTGAGGTCAGAAGTTCGAGATCAGCCTGGCCAACATGGTGAAACCCCGTGTCTACCAAAAAATAATTAGCTGGGCATGGTGGCACACACCTGTAATTCCAGCTACTTGGGAGGCTGAGGCACGAAAATCACTTGAACTTGGGAGGCGGAGGTTGCAGTGAGCTGAGATCACGCCACTGAACTCCAGGCGATAGAGCAAGACTTCATCAAAAAAAAAAAAAAAAAAAAAAAAATCTAACACTGTAGTTAACACAAACTAAGGCAGCAAAGCAGGAGAAAAGGAGACAGAAAAAAAAGCTAAACTAACCAAGATATTTTGTACTCCGTGGTAAGCAACCTAGTAAGCATGAACTAACTATGTAAACATCATCAAATGAGTACTGGCTAGGACATTGTTTTGCAAATGCTAGAAGTTTCAGAACCACACTCAAAGTATATATAAACATGGGTACCGAAATATAAATCTATGTGATTCTTCCATCTATCCTTCAAATCTGAGCTCAAGAATTACAACTTCTGTAAGTTTCCCTCATACAGAGTTAATCAAGCCTTCTTCTTTAACCTTTATATTGTATCACACCATACTACACAGTAAATTATTTAATGTTTTTCTATCCTCCAAGAATATGAGCTTCATGAAGGCAGAGGGACTGGCAATCTTTCCACCCTAACACCTAGCAAATTGCATGGCACAAAATAAATTCTGATATAAGCTTGCATGACCTGTCATATTTTATACAACATTACTGTATAATAATCTTCCCGTATCTTTCCATATTTTAATGTTTCTGAAATAAGAATGTCTAATAATTAATTATATTTAATATGGTGGTGTATATTTTCTCTTGGAAGGCTGTTATTAAAATGATGATGCTTCATGTAATACATGGTACAAAGAAGCCAGGAAACACAGTGTGAATGAGCAATTCTAGCCCTAATAAAAATGGTATCAACAATTCTTTTCCTACCATGGTTAGTTCCTGATTTTCTACATAGGAGAGCAATGGCTAAATATTCTCAAATTACAGAGAAGAATACATAAATGATTTGCATATATTTACCTATATCAAATTTTTCTTCAGAATTATCAAGTTATTCTTCCTAAACGAGTATGAAAATCAGTTGTTTCTGAATATATACTAGGTCTTACCAGAAAGATTCTAATTAATCAGAAGCATACTACGAGGTGTCATCATTTATGTTCTTTTAACATTCTATAACTTATATCCACCTTTTTTCTTCATACACTTTCTACCTGACATTATTTTAAATGATGGCAAGATATACTGCTTCCTCAACCATGTTTCTCTTTGCCAAACCATAATTCTGCTTTTGTGGGACAATGTCCTTACTATGTCTATAAGATTTAATTATTGCCATTTCCATTTCCAAGATTGTTCTATGATTTGACCAACACACATCTCATCCTAAACATCTTTGCCCTGACAAGATTTCAGTTCCCTACATTATTAATGATGAACATGCTCTCAATGTCCTTTTTCTATATATCTTTCCACTATACTAATCTGCCTATGTTTTAAAAGTTCTTATTTTTCATAAGAAATTAACCTAGCAAGGTATTTTTCAATTTCTCACTAAAAACCAATTATAAAATATTACACTAACAAATGATCATTTTAATTCTAATCAGTGACAGCATGCTGGTAAAAACTTGGATAGGAAATTTCCCTATGGATTTATCGATTGATATCAATCTGCATCTGTAAATGTTGGACTTATCATATGGTTTACCAGACTGAATTTAGGTAAATCTACATGATGAATATGATTTACTTCATAGTCAAACATGCATTACTTACATCAAAACTTATATCTTGAACTCCTAAGAACAAAAAAAGTTTACAATATTGAAAAGATTATGAGATATTATCTAAAATTCTGAGCCCCTTGGTGCCTTTGCTTTTCTGTAAGATATACTTTCTGAGACAAATAACTGAAAAGTTTCTTTAGGCAACATACCAGCTTCTGACTGAATCAAAATGGTTGTATTATTTCATTCTAAAAAATATAAACAATTAGAAATGTACATTATTATGTTTTTATCAAAAAGAAAAATTGCTTTTAACTCTAAAACACATCATCAGCTGTAAAACTTGCTATCTTAGTCTGGTTTATTTAAAAGCTACAAACTACATTCACATGTAAAATTACTTTTTAAAAATTATATTCACATGTGGAAAGGGAAGGAGGAAAGTTTAAGAAAGCTGTTAATCCCCCAAGTCTGTTCTTAGTTACCTATTTTGGAACACTTCTAGAATTATAAATAAAAATGCTAACAGTTACACTTTTACAGTATCCTACAGAACACTAAATATATTCTATTCAAATCTAAATGTGCATTTAAATATACTTTATTTTTAATTTATGAAACATTAAATACTTATATTTAACAAACACTTGCTTAATCTTAAAGCTAAAGCCTACATCATTTACCTGATATAAAAAACCATCTAAAACGTAATAAATATAATTTTAAATGATCATTCTGAAGTTAATTACCTAAGAAAAGTCATTGATAATTTATAATATTTCTATGGCTTTCATTAATTCATTTTAGTTAACACATTTTTATATTTGCATTTCCACTGAAATTACAAGAGTTATTACATACGTAGCACAGAATATATCTGTATAACTGAATTGACCTTAAACTTACTTCATCTAGAACATTTCTAAAAACTTCACTGAGCTGCCATAATTTTTGTCAGCATATGTAGTACTGAATGACCATTAAAATACCTGAATTGAAACTATTCCAGTCTAGCAGTTTGTAAGATCTTGTGTTACCCATAATTCCGACAAAGGCTGAGTTCAAAACAGCAAATTAGTAGATCAGTTTTAGGTGCAGAATAATAGGAATAAAACAAAAAACACTACAAACAAGAACGCAATTGACAACACCACTCGACAGGAACTGGAAAGACACAGACAGCAGAGTTAATAAGAACTAGAAATAGAAAAGGGGAAAGGAGCATGCTATAGTAATCTAACATTAACTAATCTAATTATTGAATTACCTTGATTTTTAAAACCACCCCATTCTTTCCCTTGTTGCAGTCACCTGTTTGCTCAAAATTTACCAAAGGAGGATATTCTTTAAAAAAGCCTCCAAAATAAAAATCCATAGTTAGCAGGTGGTAGTGGTTTTAAAATAAGATTTTTTCCCTTCTATAGTGAGAATGAAACAAAAATTTCCCATATTTACTAGTCAAAAAATAGCTGCAAAATTCATTTGAGAATGCAAACACAGCATTTTTAACATTAGCACATGCATCTCAATCCATCGTAAGTTTCTCTCAGCAGAGTAGCTGTCACAAAATTAAAACATCATCATTATGGTAGATGTTAATCTAGAGTTTTGTTTTGTTTCAACATTCAGCTTTTCTTCAATATATTAAAATTTCTTCATAAATAATTACTTAAAAGGTCTGGAGATTAGTAAATGTTCTTAAGAAAATGTTCCTTTTTAGTGTATTATAATACATAAAACAATCCAAAGAATGTGACATTTTATTTTTTGAGATGGAGTCTCCCTCTGTCAGCTACGCTGGAGTGCAGTGGCATGATCTCGGCTTACTGCAACCTCCATCTCTAGGGTTCAAGTGATCCTGCTGCCTCAGCCTCCCAAGTATTTAGGACCACAGACATGTGCTACCACGCCCAGATAATTTTTGTATTTTTGGTAGAGAGAGGGTTTCATCATGCTGCCCAGGCCGGTCTCAAATTCCTGAGCTCAAGCGATCTGCCCGCCTTGGCCTCCCAAAATGCTGGGATTACAGGTGTAAGTAACCGTGCCCAGTCAGAATGTGATACTTTAAATCAAAATAATATAATATTGGAACCATTAGAATAATTACATGTATTTAACTAAAAATAAACCAAAATGAAAATGTAACTCATACACCATTTGAAAGCACTTATATGTATATGTCCATGACCTTTTGGGAAATAATCCATTAATAACTGAGAATTTCTACATGTGAGCTGAAAAAATAAACTGGGAGGAAAGGCAGACAATGGGTGAGCTGGTAGTTACAATACCCAAAAGACATTCTGTAATAAGAATTACTCTTTTCTTTCCTGGGCCTGGATTCTTACATTTCTTGCACAGTTAGCATGAACTGGCAGGTAAAATAAACCCCAAAATGCAGTTAGTTTTTTTTTTTTTAAAGTAGTGACACTTTAAATACAGCTCTCTACTTAAACTTATTTAAGTAAACTTCACTTGTTCTCCCAGACTCTATAGCTTACTCAGAGTACATGGAAGCAAGAAAATAAAATCAAAATGTTTTTCTTTTTCTTTTTTTTTTTTTTTTTTTTGAGACAGAGTCTCATTCTGTCGCCCAGGCTGGAGTGCAGTGGCACGATCTCAGCTCACTGCAACCTCCACCTACCGGTTTCAAGCAATTCTCCTGTCTCAGACTCCCGAGTAGCTGGGACTACGGCACCTGCCACCAGGCCTGGCTAATTTTTGTATTTTTAGTAGAGATGGGGTTTCACCTTGTTGGTCAGGCTGGTCTCAAAACTCCTGACCTCAAGTGATCCACCCGCCTCAAAGTGGCTTCCCAAAGTGTTGGGATTACAGGCATGAGCCACTGCATCCAGCCCAAAATGTTTTTCAGTAAGCAGAAGATATCCAGTAATTAAATATATTCCTGAAACCATGTTTCGAACTATTAGATCAGTGGGTGCCATCTATTAAAATATTTGAGTCAATGGTCCATAGAAACACAGGTAACTGGCCTTGGGTCACAAGGTTGATGTCAGGTATGTTAACTCGGTACTTCCTTGCATTTTCCAAATAATTCAGGTTCCTTAACACAAAGATGTAGAATTTGGCATAGTCTTCAAGATCCCAATACATTAAACTGGCATCAGTCTGAATTTTTCTTTAAGTACTGTACACAAATACCACAATGGAGAAAACATCTTATATTGACCACAAAAATAAGAAACAGGGGAAAAAAAAAAACTAAAGAAGGGAAAAAAAAAGAGAAAACCAGTGCTTAAAAGATGTATTTGCCCAGTTTTAGAGTTAAATGATCCTGACTTGCACTGTTTTTCTGAAATCTCATTCAAGGTCCAGAGAATTCTAGTCTTCTCTGAAATAAACTCAAATGACATCAAACTATAGGGCATAAACTTTAAAAAAAATTTTTAAATAGTAATGCTCTGTATCCTCAAAAATAGTCATTATTTACAATGTTTTGGTCCAATAACTTCAAAGCATTTTACCCGTCTTTTTTTCTTTTCTTTTTCTTTTTTTCTTTTTTTTTTTTTTTTTTTTGAGACAGAGCTTCGCTCTTGTCGCCCAGGCTGGAGTGCAATGGCGCGATCTTGGCTCACTGCAACCTCCACCTCCCGGGTTCAAGCAATTCTCTGCCTCAGCTTCCTGAGTAGCTGGGATTACAGGCGCCTACCACCATGCTCAGCCAATTTTTGTATTTTTAGTATTTTACAGGCATGAGCCACCGTGCCCGGCCACCCTTCTTTTTATAGCTGTCAATACAAGCCTCACAAAGAGGTCACTGGATGTGACAATTTAAAATTTTCAAAACTATATACGTCTATATGCCAAATAAGAATACTAATATAACTTCAGGTTTAATGTATGTTGATTGAGCATCTAGTCAATGAGAGATATAAGAACACATTCTATATGGAAAGTTCCCACTATTTATCATGCTTATTTTAGACACAGAAAAATCACTAGAGTATTTCTGATCCAAGGGCCTGAATCCAGTAGGACTTTGATGCCTACTTGCTTTTAATTATGTTCCTATGTTTTAAAGAAGTAACCTACTATTCTTACTCGTTTGCTTAAACAGAACAAATAGCTACATAAAAGAAACTGAGGGACCAGATGTTAGTTTGTTTGTCTGTTTTTCAATTCTTAGCTACTCTAGACAAAGTCTACAATTACTTTGTTGCCCATGCTGGATTCCACCACCAATGACAGAGTGGAATCCCAGCACAGTGCTGGGATCTGTGTCTCCTAAGTGCTGCCTGGGCAGGCTGGAGGGGACAGGTGGCCATGGTCAAAGACAGTCCCAGTGTGTTCAAGTTACACAATGAGCTCTAAGAAATGACAGCTCCAGTCGCCTGCTCAGGAAGAGGGTCTTTGACCCATGGACTCATCTGGTTCCCTCTGCTACTTATCTGTTCCTATGACACCCACAGTGCTTACACAGGTCTTGTCATGTTGCCCAGGCTGTTGCCCAGGTCTGGCTATGTTGCCCTGGGCTCAAGCGATCCTCCTTGCCTCGGCCTCCTGAGTAGCTGGGACTACAGCCACATGTTACTGTGCCCAGCTTTACCATTACATTTTTAAAAATATCTGTTTTAAGAAAAATGAAAATAAGCAATCTATAAAGAGCTACTGCTAATGAAAAGAACTAACATCTTAAACTAATGGCCATAATGGTCAATTTATAAAAATTTTCTCCCCTGGGTCAAAGAAAAGTTATTTAAGGATTTCCTTAAAGTGATATTGTGACCAAAAATAAATTAAGATTTGTTTTTTACAGAAAAGTAACTAAAATACACTTAGTTTATTTATAATTAAGATCACTACAAATATATTAAAGTAACATGCTAGTTTATACTTTTCATTTCTCTTTTCAGATAGACTTGGCTTTAAAAAATCATGAAAATCAATTTTAATAACCACAATTTAAATAAAGGAAACATTGAAACTTTTTAAGAACATACCAGGATTGTGGATGCGATCCAAAAGCTTCACAGAACGTGCACTAACTACACCCCCAACGTGTACAAGGAATCCAGGAGGAAATGCCGTCAAGGTGAAAAATGGAAATTCCTAGTGGAAAGAATACGGGAAAAATAAACTTACCGTGTGTAAAGTGTAAAAAATTTGCTGATTAAAAAGCTTGTCATAAGCAAATGTATTACATCCCTTGAAATAAAAGGCCACCCATTCTACATTACACATGCTTTGTAATTAAAAATTTTATTAAATGTTTAGAGTTTCAAATCCATTTCCCCATATATACAATGTTATACAGAATCCAAAGACCCATTTCGTCAGTTCTCAATAAGGAAAAAAAAAAAGTGTTCTTTCAATTTAAGATCTTTAAAACATACTCTTCCTTCCTCTGAATCTCCAACTCTGATGGAACTTCTCAATGAGATGAGGGAACTGCCCTATCACTCTACCCCATTATCTATTTCTCAGTGGTATAGACACCCCCTTCACATGAACACCCAGTATAAGACACTGGTAAAGACTCTAAAAACCTGGGGCCAAGAGATCTAAATGAAAGTGGGACCAAGGGAGGGTAAGTGAGAGGCTAAGCAGTGTGGGTTAAGAGAAAGAGGATAGGGGCAAATATCAAGTGGAGGTGGTTAAAGAATCATTGCCTGAGGTTACTCTATCAACACCAATGTGGCAGGAACAAATACAAGAGCATAAAGGTACATTAAGGAAAGGTGACAGGTACATAGATAACAGGAAGGCAATAAAACTCCACAAGTTCTTGCACGCTTTATTCTCTCCTTCTCTCTTAAAGACATAAAATTCATCAACTTAGAGACAAAGAGAAACACAAGAAAGAGAAATGAAAAAGCCGAGAAAGGAAATTCATTGAAATAGCACCCAATAAGAAAACAGAGCTCCTGCAGAAACATGGAGGCCCCTCACATTATACAAATTGGTTGCAAGTAAGGATAACTTGATGTTTGACCTGTCTGGCTGCAAGATTAATGTAGCTCACTTAACTGGAATCACTTACCAGTAGGCTCAGCTATTTAGAACATAATTGAGCATAATTGAGAAAAATAAGCAAAACGGGGCTCTCAACAGTCAAAAGAACTGTTACGGTCTCAAGCGCTAAAGCTCATATACTTTATTCATAGGAGACTCCCACAGATCATATTCATACTATATTATAGTAGTTACAAATTTTTATCTTAAGAACAAACAATTCTAAAATTTATCATGACCTTATTTTCAAGACCACCGCAGATTAAATGCAACCAATAAAAGTTGGTAAAGAGATAAAGAATACCACCAGAAGCAGGCACACTAAAAGCAGCAAGAATTATTCACTGGCTGCTTCAAGCATGGAAAATACAAACTCACAAAAGCATGATCACAAAGCACAGCAACTTGGAATCATTTAGCACAAAAGCAATCAGTCCTGTGCAACTCAGTAACCCATGAAGGTTGAGTATAAAAAACATGTGTACACACACACACATATTTAGAAATAAATTCAGTTCAAATTTAGAAGTAATCTTTAAACAAGAGAAAGAAAAATCTAGGCTACATAAGAAAAGAGTAAAAAAACTACTCTATGGAAGTGGTTAGGTTTGGCCCAGCAGACAGGTAGAGGGAAGATAAGGAAGAGGATGGAAGGAGAGCACATCACTTATAATAAATGTATTATAATATGTTTAGTCAAAATGCATCCTTATTTCCATTTAAACTTCTTTTTCTGTCCTCCAAGTTTTCTTCCTGGAAATCTAATAAAAACTGCAAACTAGAAGATTACCTCATAATGAATTCATATTTATTGTTAAGAAATTTGAATGTAAATGAAGTTTTGAGTCATAAAAATATTTGAATGGATTTATTGTTAGGCACAGCACACACAGGGGTAATTACACGATAATATAAGTGTTAAGAAAGAAGTTGGGAAAACAGTTTGGTAGTCACTGAGCAAGTCCATTTGAATTTTATAAATGTGAGTTTTAAATGAGAAATGTATAGGTAAGCTTATATTATTAATAATGTAGTTAGGTTCAGTGTTAGGATCACTTAAATTTTAATACTTCCTCAAAATATCTGAGGCATGTGGTGGTCTCACAGAATAAAAAATCACTTTATATGTAATCTTTCTACTTAAATCTTTCAAATATCTAGACAAGAGATACTGAAAGTAACATTTTTGTAAGCTAAATGGAAGACAGTACTTCCTTTTCCCTTCTAAAGAAATTAAATAGGTACATTATATATTAGAAAACATTTTCATATAAGATTTTATATAAGTATGAATAAATGAACCTAAATGACTTTTCAATTCAGGGTTCTTTACCCTTCTCCCTAAAGTTCTTTGTTTGGGGTAAAGAAATGAGGGGAAGCATCGTAGTGGAGCTGGTCAGAAAGAAACATATAGGGCAATGGCTGCCCAGAGGCCACAACTCACTCGCCACCTTACATGTCCCCAATTAACTTACTCGGCACACCAATTCATTCTAAAACACAAAATTAAACCTATAAAAAATAAAAAATCTCATTGTTATTTAACCAAAATTCTGTCTTCATACAATTCTTATTAGAAGAGCTACTGCTGAAATCTATACCAGATTGTTAAGTACCTATCATCACCACCATAACTAGCAACTACTGTCAAGTACTTCCATGTGCCAGGCCCTGTAGTCTGTGCTTTATAACCCTTCCCATATGAGGGAAGTACTATTATCTCCATTTTTTATATGAAAAACTGAACTCAAGAGGGCCTTGTATTCCTAGATTCTTTGTGAGCAACAAACTTTATCATCTGGTTTCACTGTCATTTAGAGTTAAGGATTTGATTTTATTACACCTGATGAATTTATAGATTTTTCTTCTGTTTAAAAGAATAGTTTTCGCTGGGCACAGTGGCTCACGCCTGTAATCCCAGCACTTTGGGAGGCTGAGGTGGGTGGATCACCTGAGGTCAGGAGTTCAAGAACAGCCTGGTCAACATAGTGAAACCCTGTCTCTACTAAAAATACAAAAATTAGCCAGGCATGGTGGCAGATGCCTGTAATCCCAGCTACTCAAGAGGCTGAAGCAGGAGAAATGCTTGAATCCTGGAGGCAGAAGTTGCAGTGAGCCAAGATCACGCCATTGCCCTCCAGCCTGGGCAAGAAGAGCAAAACTTCGTCTCAATTAAAAAAAAAAAAAAAAAAGAATAGCTTTCTTAAGATCAGCCCAAGCACATCCTGCTTTCAACACCTAGATGTGAATTTTAGGAACTGCAGAAGAAATTTTCTCCAGAAAGTCTTCATATTTAAAGTAGCTTTCCCTGTGGTACCTAGATAAAGTTACATGCTGATGATCTGACATAAGCCAAGGGCAGGCAGCATAAACATATTTAATAGTGTGTGCTCAAAGACAGGTTAGTTGAAAAATCATGAGAGCGCAATGGGAGTATTCTTTTAAAAAGAGATTTAAATAGGATTTTTCTTAGGAGATATTTAAATAGTTTATTCTTTAAATCAAATACTCTTTATTATTGCAAAAGACTAAACTTTCTAGATAAAAAATCAATAACAGATTTCTACCATGATTTATTGTACAATTTTACTGTCACTTCTAAAAAGATCAAAATTCTTCAAGAGTTTACCTTATATCAATGTTTCCCAAAATGCATTCCTCACTAACAGGTATTTTAAAAGGAAAGTTCTAATAAAATGTACTTGGGAAATCCTAGGTTAAACTAAGTTAACTAGGTTTCTTGACTGAAGGAACTAAAAAAGTACTTCCATATTTTCTCACAGGTAAAATAAAAGTCTTATTGAAAAACATCTGGATGAGCACAGTGGCTCATGCCTCTAATCCCAGCACTCTAAGAGGCTGAGATGGGAGGATCACTTGAGCCCAGAAGTTCGCAACCAGCCTGGGCATCATAGAGAGAGCCTCTCTCCTAATTAATTAATTAAATATCTATTTACTTTACATCAAAAAATTCATAGGTGGAAGTTAAATCTAAACAAAACTTTTATCTCTATTTCTCATCTACCAAAAACCCGGCAATGCTTCTGTGAGAGTAAAGAATAACACTTTTAATTTTGATAACTACTACTTGAATAATCCGTAAAAGAGATTGGGCAAATAAAGTTTCTCTTTCCTCAAGAAAAAAAAAAAAAAAAGCCATATAATTTATTAAGGGTTGTTTACCAAGAGAGAGAAATGAATATGAAACATCATATAAGTAGATCATGTCAGTGACATAATCTAGTGTTCAGGTTAGCAGAATTAAGTCATATCTGAACACATATGGGGAGAATTCTTCATACTTCTTGTTTTTCCTAAAACAAAAGCCATACTAATGGCAGTCACAAGTGAATAGGAAAGCCAAAGATGATAATGCTTTTGCTGCTTACTTTGTACACAAGGTAGAGAAGTAGTTTCATAAACCTAAGTAACTGCTACTTCGAGGTTAGACGATGTAGATGTACTGCCAACTCAGGACTGACAAAGTTGTAAATGAAACTATAGTTCTCTACACCTTTGTTGTTAATTCCATGAAGACTATTTAGAAATCTATGTCCAATGAATAAATGTGTCCAAAATTTTAAGAATGTTTAAATGCATACTTGAAAACACAAATTTTATCCAAACTAAATTCAAAATGGTTTTCATTGCTTAATATTGTTTTCCCTTAAAGTGAGATGGTTTTTAAAGATTCTTGGTACAGACAGTAAAGTCACAGGCACAACATACAAAGTAAAATCTTATTACATAGAATTTCAAGGGAACCCACATTTTTCTGTTACTGTGAATTCCAGAATGGTAATTTGATTATAAGCAAGCATATTCCTATTGTGAAAAACTCTGTAGAGAACATAATAATGGAACAGGGAAAAAGATAAGAGCATTCTGGCCAAAAAAAATGGTAAGTGAATGCACACACACACCTTCACTCTGACCCTCTTCAATGTTTTCAGTCTTTTGTTACATTTGGTTTTAATAGTTGATTTGAATGTTTAGGTGGGCCTTTTGGTGGCAGTTGTAGGTTTGCCTGCAAGGTGCAAGAGTAGCTGGAAGGTAACTGCTGCTTGATAGAGCATGAAGCAAAAAATGAGCTAAAGCCTCATCATTGCTTAGTTCAGCTCTGCTCTCTCCAGCCTTGTCTAAGTAAACAGTGCATACACAGATACTGTCAGCATAAGGAGGGAAAAGTCTAGAAAACAAATTGTACCAACCTCTAGAGGAGAAATAGTTTAGTTTTATGAAATGTATCCTTTTACAGGTATTTACTCTTTCACCTTTTTCCCCCAAATGCTAGTGTAATATAGAACATGTAAAAGAAAATTCTGTGAATGCTTATAGCTTCCAAATCAGACATAATGAAAGCTATAGAACTATGTCTTAAAATTATTGACATGACATATATAACATGCACCATATTAGTTAGTAGAAAAAAAGAACATGAGCCTCACAGTGCTATTAAATTTAAAAAGAAAAAAAACTTTGCATTATGAAAAGACAAATGCTGTCAACATTTGCTAAAAGCTTAAATAAAACTTAAATGACCAAGATTAAAACTAGAAAAGCTATCAATACAAGAAATAGGCTCTCACACATTTTTCGGAAACATACCCGCCTTCTACAGAACCTATGAGGCGATCCTCCCTTAGCAATGAAGTTTATTAAAAAAAAGAGAGAGAGAGAAATCATCCAAAAACTGTAACTGCTTATTTTCCCAATCAACAAACATAGCTAAATATCAAACTTACAATAACTAAAATAGATGCATTATAATGAATAACCACATTATATTAATCTTTAGAAATACAGAATCTGTACATTTCTTATTCCTAAGAGATTGGCCAATGATAAAAGTAATCTCAGCAAACAAATGTATTTATATACTAAGGAATTATTTTTAATATAATAAAATGCTACTGGAATACTTTTTTCTGCAAAAATGTTTACCATCGCCTTTCCAATAATAAATGTAATGGAAAATTACTTCAGCATTCAATAGGTATTCTCAAAAATAGTATTTCTGATAAAAGATCAAATGACAAAACAAAAATTATTATTATGCAATTATTCCAAATCAAAGGTAATTATCCATAAACAAATTACTTTGACATCTTAAATCCATTTTGGACTTCAAAACTGCAATATTATAGATGTGTAACTAAAACAGTTCATGAAAACATGTAAGTACATGGAAGCATAAGATAACAAAGTCATATTAACAGTGTAAGAATAAAGAATATCAAGTGAATCTTACCCTTTGTTCCAAAGCTGATTGAGTCTGTTGTCTTAAAAGAGCTTTAAAGGGCCCCCCTTCTTTTCCAGCACTACCACTTCCCATTCCTACAGAACATCAGTACATAAATAACAACCAAAAAAAAAAAACTATAGAAACAAAGTTTAATTGCATTCATCTTCATAAACATCATGAGTTGAAATGTGATAAAATGATCGAAACATTTAAAGCACTGGGGATGACAACTAAAGCACATATTTTACTCTACTTTTATTCACAAAGTTTTCTTTAGATGCAAGATGTCAGAGCCCTACGGACCCCAGCTAGCTTTGGACTTAATTTTTTCTGAAAATTATAAGAAAAATTATGTTAAGGTGATGAAACTTTCCATAATATTCCATTTTAAAAGCTGAGTCTTTCAATTAATTAAAATAATCAAGATAATAACAATTACTATGCTAACAATTTAGGAATACTAAAAAATGAGAAATATAATATGTCTGATTAAATGTAAATATAGAGACAAAAGCACTACTTGTGCTCACTTAAAATATTCCAAGATTCTCTAAAAAACGTAAAATTTAGGTGATTTTGAAATATAGTCAAATCTATTTTCTTATAACTTCCCATTTCTAAACATATCATGACAAAACAGTATTAATTTCATACTTGTCAATACTCATTCACAAAAATCAACATAAACTTTTTTTAAATAAACAAAAAACCACGGACATGTAATAGACACATCACAAATGTACATAGTTATGAATGAAAGAAGTACCTTTCCCAAGCTCTTAGATATATTTTTTATGGCTTCATTTTAAATTTCTTTCCCTACCTTATTTTATTGTTCTGACCATGCCAATAGATAACTATGGTCAAAGAATCACAGAAAGCAGGGGACAGGTAAGAAGCCAGTGCTCTACAGACTAGAGTTAATCCCATCCCTTTCAAAACTGAAGATGCATACAGCCAAATGTACTACAATGACTTAAAAAAAAACTAACTTTTACATTTTTAGCTGTTCTTGGATAAGGAAACAAAGGTTAGCATATGTATAGTCCCATTCTGTTCTTAAAAAAAAAAAAAAAAAAAGATTTTTCTTACAGTAATCTGAACATTATTTTTAGAGACTATACAATACTAAACATAGAAATGAAACTAAGATCTTTATATGAAGCATATTAAAAGCCAGAAAATAAAATGTAAATTTGTAGTGATAAGTGAAATATCAGAAAATATATCAGAAAAATTTAATAATTAGTGCAACAGACAGAAAAAAAAAGATAATGAAAGAATACCACCAAAATGAGACTTAAACTGATTCAAACAGGATAATTTACTAATGTAACCAACTGGTTTAGCAACATGATGATACAGGTCCAATGTGAATGGAGTTGGTATGAAGAGAAAGAAAGTAAAGCATCTAAAACAGAAACTGTAGTAATAAGAATCTAATAATATTAGAAATACCCACATCTATGTCCTTAGACATATCTTTTAATATATAAAATAATTTGGCAGAATATTCATGATTAGCCATCAAGTAATCCTCAATTATATCCTTATAATTCCAATTATTTAACTGTCTACCAGTAAGAAAAATAATAGAAAGGCATCTTGTATAAAATATCTAATAATTCTTTACAGCATGAAAAATAAAGGGATTAAAAAGCTGACATAATGTGATCCTACCAGAAGCAGCCAGGAACAGCTCTTCACTGAAAGAAACACTTTTCCTCAGAACTGGGCTGACAAGGCTAGAATGATGAGGGGTAAGGCTAGATTCCGAGAGGAGGAGACAGGACTTTTTAAGATGAAGGGAACCACAAGAGAGAGAGGGGGAGCTGGGACACAGGTAAATCCTAGGTCCCTGTGGGTAAGGTGCTGTGGAGGAAAGTAGCAGAGAAAAGATGCAGATTCAGAAGATGATCAAAAAATGCAGGCTAAGGAAAGCAATGATGAGGCAAAATATAACAATAAAAATGAACTTTAAAATGTACAGACAAATTACACTAAGCAAATGAAAAGTCACTAGCAAGACCATCTATCCCACATAATGTAAATAAAAGGCATAGTCTAAAACTTAACAAAAACTTTACAAACTTCACATTCACTAAAATTTTTTAAATCACTAACTTAGGATTTTATGTGATTCTAATAACTTTTAATTGACATCTTCAAAAACACTTAACTTGCCTGCCCTTTTTGGCTTAAGAATTTGTAAGATTAAAATATAGCACATTTTCAAATGTTTAGAGCCAGACTTGCTGCCTAAAATATAAACACTTATTTAAAGTTATAAAGGTGCAGTACTTCAAATGTTACTAACTTTAGATAGCATTTATGGGCACTTTAATTGAATACCCATAAAAAATACTCAGTACTGGATTAGGTAAACAGTTGTCAGTATTAATTTTAATATTAACTTCTTTCTGTCCAGTTTTGAGATACATATTAATACTTTTCTTTTTCCTCTAAAATGTTTAATACTTTACTCTGATCATAGTATTATTTGCATTTACCGAGATTTGAGTACCCTAAGGGTCAAATATCCTCTGTAAAAACTATACATAGTTAAAAGACTGGCTAAAAATATTAGCTAAAATCAGGTATCAAATCAATATTCTAACACTAGTAAATCTAAAATTCCACTATTAAATACTTGGGAAAAAATATAAAAATAAAACCTTGTAAATGTCAAAATTAGTATCTAAAGAAATAAATATAAAAGTTTTTAAGAGACCTACCAGAAAAACAGATAACGTAGCTTGAACTACAAACAGAAAAAAAAAAAAAAAAATTCTGTCTAAACGTCATTTATTCTACTTTTGGATTCCCAAATAAATTATAATCAGCTTATGTCTGTCCATTATTTCTCAGGACACTGATTCTGATACAGGTAAATTAGAAGGCAGAAAATCATGAAATACAGGCTGAAATTTTAGTTTTAGAACTCTTACAACAATCACAATTTTCCCATTTGAAGTCTCCATAAGATAGGAGTGCTCCTCAGGACAATTCAGAGAGATTCAGGGACTCACAATATAAGGCCAAGGGGCTGAAAATTGCTAATGTTATATAAATAAGCTATTGAAGTAATAAATAATTTTAGGAAGAACAAAATTATTTAGAGGCAGCTTATAAATATAGGAATACATGGGAATAACACCCCATTTGTAAATAAAAATTTTTAAACTAAAAATTTGGAACCAGAAGATAAAATATGACAAGTTCATTAATAATTATTACTTGACAATCTTCTTTAGGCTTGGCCTTTTTGGTGAATTTAAAAAAAAAGAAAAAAGAAAAAAGAAACAGAAAGACCAAGGAAATGCTTTCCAAATGTTATCTATGGTATGGCAAAAAAATAAAAAATAATAATAATAATTAATAAAGGCTTGGAATATGCAGTCAGTGGACCACAGTCTCAAAAATATTTTTTAAACTTATTACTCAAATAGTAATGTAAGTCTTTATCTTGATTGTCATGAATTTTAAGGCCAGAGTCTTTTACGCTTTATCTGAAAAAAAAAAAAAATCTTTTTTCACTACAGTCTGGATGGTTCAGTTTTTACGGCATAAACCTGGTAAGGTGCCAAATTCCAAAGCATATATTACTATCAAATAACTACATTATGTGTAGGCATTATTCATAATTATCTAGAAAGATGAAGCTGTTATCTTCAAGAAAACAGGTGTTTATCTTTATATTTTATGACTTAATTTATAAAAACAGAAATTAAATCTACAGCCTTTTTAAAAAATGATCTTTCCTTAGAAGTAGCACTGCTTTGGATTTAGACTTCTTTTCCTTGTTTTCACAAAATCTAGGATTGTTTTATAAATTTCTAACATACAAATAGGGCTATTAAAAAATATTAATTAAAAATAACAAATAACTGTTTTAATCATCTGATGGGAAAACTGTCACACAAAAATACTATTTATAAAAATTTCACATCATTAATTTTTAAGTTTAATTTATTTTAAATTTTTCTAAACAATAATACTTTAATGATTTAAATAAGTTAATTCTATTCTAAGGTATAAGGAACTAATCTGATTTTTCATCAACTTTTTATCATAAAACATTTTCATAAAAACCCAGAAATCATTCATCAAAATACAATAGAAAAAGATATAAATTTAATAAACAGAAAAATTTAAGAATAAGTAAAAATGCTATTTTCTAACCTAGAAAGACTAGTAAAACCAAACATTTTAAATATCCAGTTAATAAATAGATAGATGTACTCTAATACAACCATTTCAGTGGTTAAAAGTTTTTTCATAATAAAATCTTAGAATTATATTCATTAATAGGCAGAAATAATAAATTCAAAAATGCTTGTATGCAACTGATTACAAGCTACTAGTGTTACTTTTTAGTCAAATGTTTTAAGATGTTATTCCTCTTAATTTGAGCATAAAATGAAAAATGTCTATATGCCAAAATAAATCGTGGACTTTGATATCTACACTATGATTAAATCAGTGAAATGTAGACCAGATAATTTCTGAATTATACAAAATTTTCATATTTTAATTGCAGTAACTGAAAATGGTCAGTATTCACATTTTCTTTTTAACTTAAGTGCCAAAAACAAGAGGAAAGATTTGGATGGAAAGCTAATAAGAAATAGAAACAAATTTTTTAAAAAAGAAAAAACAAAAGGTGGGTGGAAGTGCCTTACCAGTTTTGGGTGTCAAACTCAAATCTGTGTCAGAAGAAGAGGACTGTCGACTGTAGGACTTGGAAGGTGAAAAGGAATAGGTTTGGTTTTTCAGAGGGGTTGAGGGTCCTGATGAGTGAGTATTGGGATTGGGATCTTCATTGAAGGGAATCCTGCCAGAAGAAGGTGGAGAAATATTAAGTAATCATGTGCCAAAGGGCTTGACGGGTGGCAGCATGATCCAAACACCAGGAAAGAATTGGGGCAGGGCCAGCAGTCATTTCTTACGTGTGGAGCTGGGAATGAGGCCAAAGACAACCAATTGCTGTTTAACCATTCATCACTCTCCAGATAAATATTATCTGCGTTGAAACAGTTAATAAGCCAAGTGAAAAAGCAAAAAAGCATGAAATGACAGACTAAGGGGATAAAAAATATCAAAAGGAGAAATAAAAAGAATATATGACAAAATATTTTCAAATAATGCTGTAAGTTACGAAATAAAAATGGTAACTACAAGCAGTGTGTGTAAATATTCATAATTGTTTTTATATTTGCACACAGATATCCTCAAAATAAAAAATGTTTCCTTATCCTATAGCAGCAAGAGTGCCACAGCTAAAAACACAGCAGAGAGAAAAATGAATACAGCTACACAGAAACATTGCCTTTAATGCAGAATAGTTGCTTACCTGTTCTCCAATAGCTCTCTTCCACAGAATGAAATAGAACCTACTGTAATAGGTTTTGTATATAAAGAAAATAAGCAAATTGGAAGCTTTGGCAGCTACTTCATTTAGAATCTAATCATCAATTTTATTTTTAAGCAAATGAAGAAATAATTATAAAATATGTATGGGAGGATTCGCCTCAAAACTCACAGTACACATACACAAAATAGCATTATTTGAGGATCTGTGGAAGAGACTTTGGAAGCTGGAAAAATACCTTCACTTCCATATAGTTAGAGACTCTGTGGCAGCTAAATACAGAAGTTCCTCACTGCAGCTGGACTTCGAGTAAGAAAAGGATGAAGCAAAGACTTGTGGTACCTGCCTACACTACCTGCCTGCCTGCCTCTGCAGCCACTCTGCCCGTGGCCTGCATCTCCCCAGCTCTGGAGTCTGAGCAGTCTCGTACCAGTATAGATGAGAGTGGGAACAGACACAGAGAAGTTCTGAGTAAGTCGTGAGCCAGTAGCAGTGTGAATTGGGCTGTTGTGAGTCGAGCGGCATCCATGGCTTGGAGGATGAACCAGCGGAGACCTGAGGGAATTTGCGGTCAAAGTGGAAGAAAAGAAAACAATACATACAACAGATTGCAGAGTTATGTTAAAATAATTTCAAAGGAGCTTTAGTTAGGGAAGAGAACTTATTTTTTTTAATCCCTAGCATGCAAAAAACAAGTTGAAATTGAAAAATAGCTCAATATTAATTTGTTAGGATACAGTCATAGTTTTAAAGTATCCGATTAATAAATTAATTGCGATTAATTTATTAATTGTGAATAAGAAAATGGCAAGCAGAATAGTCAATGAAATTAAGTGAGAACAAGACTAAGATCTGTATTTTAAGTTTCCTTAACATATTTGTTATTATTTTCATCACAACAGAACTCACTGTGCACTATTTATGGGGAGGGACACCCATAAAAGTAAAAAATCAAATATGAAGTTCTTATATTACCTTTGAAACTGAGATATGAATTGCTGATATAATTAATTATATTTTCTATAAAGAAAGTTAAATAACTGTCTAGGTTACTAAGATAGGGGTACTTAAGAATATGAGAGATGACGGCATAAAGAGAAATGAGTGAACTGAACGCATATATGCAGATAAACATATTCCAGTATTTCTATACACCAAATAAATAGCTTAAAATCAGGTTACACTGGAAGCAAAACAAGGGGACCTTGCTTTTAAAGACACCTTCATAAAACAATGTCAATAACTTTGGCTCTCATACAGAATATATTATATAAACTATATTCCAAATCAAAATTTTCTAAGATATCAACTTACATCCTATAATAAACCATATCTATGTGTGTGTATACTTAGAGCAGTTATACGAGAATACATTGATATATAACATTTTAAATTTTTAAGAAAAAATTTGGCTAAAAGGATTACACTGAATGTTGTAAAAAGGTATATTACATAAATAAGAATCCTGAATTTAATATCAGCAATTATTTCATTGTGCAATGCCTTTGCTTACACACAATGAGGGAAACAGAACCATATGAATCATAAGTGAGTACACTCTGAAAAACTATCATCCCCACTTTAAAGGCAGGCCAAGAGCCCAACTTTACCTGACCTGTTTTTTCTTTTCCATTGCTACATTACTGACTGCCCAAGAACAATCCCCAATTCACAATTTGTCAAGGTTCAAACATGAGTTATCACTAATTGATCATAATAGTCCTTCCTAAGGTCTACAGACTACTTTCGGAAAATATTACTGATTTTACAATAGCAGAAATGTTTCTACGTTTGTTGCTAATAGAAATGAAAAGATATTTACTACAATGGACAAAAATCAAACAATTCATTGGTGATCTACTTTTACACAAAAAAATGAGTAAGGTTTTGTTTTTGTTTTTATTTCTCTGCTGAAGTGAGAAAAAGTGTAAGAATTCTCAAAAAGAATTTAAAAATCCAAGACTTAAAAATAAACAAAGCTATATTTATTATAATCAGTACTATACACAGGAGAATTTGTCTCTTAGCACTTTTCTTAAGTAAAGAAGCAATAACTCATACTTAAAAGCACTTTCTATCGTCAAGAGAGTTAAGCTGGAAAACACCAAAGGGATTTATAGTGTGCATGACACTAAACATCTAAAAGAAAAAAACAAATTTAGGAAGTAGAACACACCATTAATATAGGTAAAATAAAATGAAAAACTAAAATGAACAGTGTAAAATGTTCAAATTATGGCATCAAATTAAAATTCAAATGTACTGGAACATCACCATAATGTATTCTTGGAGTTTTCTGATTCGATCAGTGTCTCTGTATGAAAGGATGCCTCATAATAATAACCTGTGGTATTTATAATATTAATATTCCTTTCCAGTCAGTCAATAACATAATCTAGACAACCTTTTATCAAATTCCTGTCTAGAATCAACAATATTACATGATAATTAAATACCAGAATAGTTATAATCAGCTGAATCATAAAATAGGCTTTGAAATAGAACCCAAATTGATTCATTATCAAAAATACAATGAAGCTAGTTGAAATAAAACAGCCTGAGTATTGAGGGTTTTTTCAAAATAACTTGACTTTATTAGTAAGATGCCTTTCAGAAAATCCTAAGGAAGGAACTTAGGTTCATCATGAGGCTACAATAAGATTAGAAAAGGAGAAGACACATACAATCCCAGAAGATTTACGCTAATAGAACTCTTCCTGAATGCATGCAAAACATATACCCCTGCTATCCTTATTTCTAAGAAAGCAATAGGTAATATAGCTTTCTCATTCTCTTTCAACTAAGTAACTTACTTAAATTGGCTTAAACTTCCACTTTAATTTGCTACTAAATATTTACTTAAATTTGCTACAGAGAGAGGGAAAAACAATCTGAATCCCTCAAAAAGCTAAACCTGCAATCTGACTCTACTGCTGGCAGCTGGCAATTCTTATCTTTCTAGGAGATATTTCAAATGGAATATAAAGCAAATTCATTCTTCAATTTATTTAAAACAATTATTTCATTTGCTAATGTGTTTCCAAATAAAATTATGCAGTATGAAACACTGTGCTTCCTCTTATGAATAAAATTCAACCCAAATGACTAATAGCCAGCAGAAACAAAATGGCTAAACAAAAAGAATGCACTTAAGATGAAAATTTCATTTTAAAAAAGATTGTGAAAAAACATGTTTTTTCATACTACGATACCTTTCTATCCAACCCCTCCTGACTACAGCTGAACTGCAGAACGTTTTAGGTTTCCTGACTATACAACTCTGACTCCCTGATTATCTAGGACAGGAGTCCGCAAACTACAGACTGCAGGCCGAATGTGTCCTGCCATCTGTTTTGTAAGTAAGTTTTATTTGAACACAGCCACACTGTATTCATTTGCATAGTGTTTATGTTTGCTTTTGTGCTACAATGGCAGTTATGAAGCAACATCGGCAGAAACTGAATTATTTACCTGTACATTTTGTCATTCACAGACAAAGTTTGCCAACCCCTGACTTAGAAGAATCTCTAGATGAGTGGTCTTCAACCGAAGTTCTAAAGGCATTTAGGATGGAACAAATCTTCATTGTATAGGGTTCCCTTGCTTTGCAGAATAGTCAACCTCTCTAGTCCCCAACAGGACCTAGCCCCCTAATCATTATGATAGAAAAATCTTGTTCCAAACATTCTGTATTGACAGTCACCACTATCATCATGCTGAAAATCTCTGCCTCTGACACAATGATGACACACACAGGCCAAATCAAGTCAACAGAAGTGTTTTGCAGGATCACACATAGATTTTCTAAAATGTATGACTCTAAATTTCTTTAGATTAGGGATCAGCAAACTCTCTTTTTTGTAAATAAAGACAAGAGATCATATGGGCAGACCCTAAAATATTGGCCTTTCCCAAAAAAAGTTTGCCAACCTTGGCTTTACAGGCAGTAGTACACTTTATTTAATTACACTCGGTTAGTTTGTTCATATAAACTCCCTGGCCTCTAGGCATTTGAGTTTAAGACTTCCGCGCAAATCAATTTTTCCTGCTTTATATACTATGTGGCCATTAATAAGTATAATTGGATTATCTGGTAGAGGGTTTTAAGCATTCCTCAGAAAATAAAATGCCACAGAATGCATGAATATTCATTTTATGCTTCATATATGCAGTGTCTAAATATCTGGAATGTTTAATTTTATATTACTTAATTTGTTTCATAGTAAGATGGTATAGGCTGGGCACAGTGGCTCACACCTGTAAATCCCAGCATTTTGGGAGTTCAAGGCAGGTAGATCAGGAGTTTGAGACCAGCCTGGGCAACATGGCAAAATCCCATCTCTACTAAAAATACAAAAATTAGCTGGGCATGCGGGCGTGCCCTTGTAGTCCCAGCTACTCAGGAGGCTGAGGTGGGAGGATCACCTGAGCCTGGAAGGTCAAGGCTGCAGTGAGCCAAGGCTGTGCCACTGAACTCCAGCCTGAGCAACAGAGTAAGACCCTATCTCAAAAAATAAAAATACAAATAAATAAGATGGTATAAATAAAATATTAGGAATATTTAAATATTTTTAAGTTTTAAATTTTGACAGTCATTGCCAATAAAAATCATCACAGAGAAAATGTTGAACCACCCTACTAAAATGTTTCAAATCAAATGAAAAAGCATAGATAAAAGATAAAAATCTTAGCAAGAACAATTTCATTGATTCATACTTACTCCTTCATTTCTTTGGATGGGGAATTACATGCAGGAAGGAATGCTGCTGGGCTACTTAATTTATCCAGAGTACACGCCGTTCCTATGGCTCTCACCACTAACCCAGACTCGCCCTCCAGATCGAAACACTGTAAGTACCCCACAACTGCATTTCCTCTCATTTCAAGTACTTTCAAGCCAATCTTCCTCTGCAGTTCACCTACAAAAAATGGGAAATCTCATTCTTGCTTCTCTTTACATTACATACTATAAGACTGGATATGGTAGTGGTAAAATAAAAAAAAAAAAGGCCGGGCGCGGTGGCTCAAGCCTGTAATCCCAGCACTTTGGGAGGCCGAGATGGGCGGATCACGAGGTCAGGAGATCGAGACCATGCTGGCTAACACGGTGAAACCCCGTCTCTACTAAAAAATACAAAAAATTAGCCGGGCGAGGTGGCGGGCGCCTGTAGTCCCAGCTTCTTGGGAGGCTGAGGCAGGAGAATGGCGTGAACCCAGGAGGCGGAGCTTGCAGTGAGCAGAGATCTGGCCACTGCACTCCAGCCTGGGCGACAGAGTGAGACTCCGTCTCAAAAAAAAAAAAAAAAAAAAAAAAAAAGTCCAAGAAAATAACAGATTTACAGAACTTGAAGGAAACTTAAAAGACAATCTGGTTTAGCTTCTACAGAATACAGAACATAATTCTATCACAATATAGCATAATTATAAAATATAATTTATACTTACACAGCACAAATATATAGAATAAAAACAAATATACATATTTACTATATAAATAGAACATTGATACTTTGTGTGAAACATATGTATGCATATATATTCACGCATATACATATATAACTCTTAATATAAATATAAACTTTAAATAAAATGGTAAACAAGTTTTTCAAAGAAAAATTTAAAAAGGGAAGGAGGTCAGAGTGGCAGGAAAAGTGGTCAAATGGGTAGAGGGAACTACAGTACCCAGGGAAGAACTGTGAAAAGGCAACATTTGAACAGAAAGTATGACAGACAGAAGAAGGTGATTTGCTTAAGCTCTGACAAATTAATGGTAGAGGGAGGAAAACTAGAATCCAGGTTCCCATTCAGGGTTCCTTCCTGAACCCCCCTTGTTCAGCACTCTTTCCACTACGCTACCTCAACAATACAATTTCCTTTTACTACAAGCTTCTGATTTGCATTTCCACTTGTTAAAAGAAGGCAATGCAAGTGTGTTCAGGAAGGCTGGGTCGGGGAAGGCATTCAGTCACTGCTAATTCATACCCTTCATTGTAAAAGTTGAGGTAGCATGTCAAAGGAAAGTGAAAAATTTAAGAGAGTACTAAATCAGTCAGTAATAAAGTTATTTTTTTTAAATACCTGACATTAACGAAATGAGTCTCTGTCTGGCCTCATTTGATGCCCTTGGTGTGCGAATTCGATCAATCCACTGATATTCTGGGTCTTCATTGACCACAAGTTCTTCTACAAATCCATGAATTATCACAGCTCTATAGCACTTTGGAATAGATGTTGCTGTTAAAACAAATTATTATGCTTCTGTTTATCAAAAGGTAAAACTCAATTTTTAAAAACTGTTCATCTCAGTTTTCTGACCTTTAGATACACAATACAAGAACATCTTTCACTGTAATATTCTCAATGTAATTATAATAATACTTCCCATCAGTCTTCTAAGATCTATTTCATTTTTAGAAATAATTATTTTCTTTCATGGAGCCTCTCACCTTTCTCATGTAAGCAAAGTAAATATAAATTGTATTTGTATAAATTGGAAAACAGCTATAGACGACTTTAAACAGAATTCAATACAAAGTTTAAAAAATCAAAATTTAAGTCAGCTAGCTAATTATTACATAAATAGGTAGAAAGCAGATAACGAATTTTTTTAAATCTTCAATTATTCAAAGCCCTTTGTGAAAGCACTTCTGTACACCACATAGCACAGTTTCAAAAATCAAACCACTACCTTTCTGACATAACCTGAGGAGTCAAGTTCAGATTCAAAAAGGAGAGAACCTGAATACATCTGTACCAAATTAGCCTCTTAAAATAAACATTAGCGCACTGAAGCTAAGTCAGCTAGTTAGGGATTTCAATCCTACTATTGCAGGCTGGCTGTGAGTCACCAAGATCTGCCCATTTCAGATCCATATATTTCATGGAGTTCCCTAGACCCAATAACCATAGAAGCCTGTATATTTTGGGACAGCACCACAGTGCTTAGCCGTAGTGTTCTGCTCCTTTCTTTCAGTGTCCTATACTACAGTAAAATGTCACTGGATTTTTCTAATAAAAATTTCTATAAATGTTCAAAAACTAAATACCATTTATACTCAAATCAGAACTACTGTAACTATTCTAGAAAATTAACAATTGTCTCTTTGACATTAAAACCAAGTATAATACCCTTTCTACTTGCCTTCTGAAATGCTAACTTAATTTCTCATATTTAACAGTTATTACATTTCCTGTTGAGTAACAGAATGTGTTTACTTACTGCAAAAGAATTTGACTCCACATGATGACTGCCTAAATCGATTTAAATCATTGAAGAGGTCTACTTTGACAACTACATTGATTTCCCCACGGATACCTATAAATTTAAAAAGAAAATCAAGTTTCTACCTTAAGAAAGTAATGTACAATTAAATAATGAAGCAAATTAATGCTAAATAATGATTTTAAAATACAACGATTTAACTTACAATTTTTTGAACTTTACCAGGGTGCAAAACCATTCTGTTTTTCACTTTCAGTAGATGTTCAATACTTTATTTAAAAAGTAGTCTTTGTTTTAGCTGATTCTGTCCAACTGTCGGCTAATATAAGTGTTCTGTGCACATTTGAGATAGGCTAGGCTAAGCTACAATGTTTGGTTGATTAGATATATTAAATGCATTTTCAACTTAGGATGAATTTATTGGGATATAACTCCATCACAAATCAAGGTGCATCTGTAATGTGTTGATCATGATAGTAATGGAAGCTTTGTTTCCTAATTATTTTCATTTTCAGTAGTTTCTGTATATTTTCTGAAGCACAACATGTATGCATTAGAAAATGAGTAATTTTCATTTTCACCACAAGTTTCCACTTTGACCCAAGATGAATTAGAAAGGAGTCCCATTTGAATTGATGATGATGTAATGATTATGGTGACAACATTTGCTGAGCAGTGAAAAAGGATGTACTAAATGCTTTACAGGTAGTATCTCAGAGTGGTCACATTAACCCAATAAGGTAGCATCATCCCCATTTTACAAAGGAAGAAATTAATATTTAATAAAAATGAAGGAATTAACATAGTGTCAACAGCAGTTAAGTGGCAGATCCAGGATTAAAATTCAGATCTTTATGATCCCAGATTATACATTCTTAACAAGTAATGCAAGAATCTGATTTAAAACAAAGGAAGTTTCATTCATTTCAATGAATATAAGTTAAAGTAAGCTAACTAAAAAATTCCAAGCCAGGAGTAGTGGCTCATGCCTATAACGGGAAGCAAGGCAGGAGGACAGCTTGGGCTCAGGGGTTTGAGACCAGCCTGGACAACATAGCGAGAAAAAAATTAAGTAAATAAAAAATTCCAAGAATACGGGTTTTCAAAACATGCTCTGATCAATAAGAATGACCCAGCTCTTATCTCTAAACATTTACTAAATATTTTCATTTGACTGTCCTGACTTCATGTCAAATTCATACTTACGGTGGAAGACCTAAGAAAACTGACTCAATAATTTACCTACTAAAATATTAAGAAAGCAGATCTCAACACTCTGGGAAGCTGAGGCAGACCTGAGCTCTGGAGTTAAGGCCAGCCTAGCCAATATGGCAAAACCGTGCCTCTACAAAAAAATTTAAAAATCAGCCAAGTGTCACGGCATGTACCTGTAATCCCAACTGCCCAGAAAGTCCTGCTTCAGGCAACAAAAAACTTTTAAATAATTTGTAAGCACAAAAATCAGTATTAATCAGTTTGAAAATGTGTTTTAGAAACACAGTATCAACACTAGAACAGTTTTAAATCATGCATTTACTTACCATACTGTACAAATTTAGCAAGCATTATCTCAAATTATGTTCAGAGAAGCAACAATTTTACTAACAATAATTTACTATTATTTGTTTATTTTTATAAAGGCATCATCTTAAGATATATATAAATATATACACACACATACACACATATATGTATATATGGTTTGTTTTTTTTTTTTTTGGAAACTGTCTCGCTCTTGTTGCACAGAACGTGATCTCGGCTCACCGCAACCTCCGCCTCCCGGGTTCAAGCGATTCTCCTGCCTCAGCCTCCCAAGTAGCTGGGATTACAGGCATGTGCCACCATGCCCAGCTAATTTTGTATTTTCAGTAGAGACGAGGTTCTCCATGTTGGCCAGGCTGATCTCAAACTCCTGACCTCGGGTGATCCACCCGCCTCGGCCTCCCAAAGTGCTGGGATTACAGGCAAGAGCCACTGCACCTAGCCTAAAGATACTTATTTTAAACCACCAAATATAGCACAAATGTCCAAGATTGTTATTTTTAATACTTTCTTATTATTCCTTACCATGTATGGTGTCATAAATTGGAAACCATCCTGAGATGACTGTTGCAGCTTCACTATACAGTAAAGGATCAATATCAATGTACACTTTACCAATGGCATCATTTGCACTGTAAGTATCATGGTCAAGAACTGTGATCTGTAAAGGTTCATCTTGTAAGTCTTCATCATCCACCTAAAAGCATACCTTAAAATTAAATCTCACATAGTTTTTAAATCTTAATTACCACAAATGTACACCTATATCAAATGAAAAGGAGGACCATCTGCAAATAAAATCTTACAGATTTCTAAGCACCAAAGTAGAGAAAAGAATTAACACACAAAAAGTTATAGCTCCTTTTCCTACACAATATCCCATCTTCCTAAAGAAAAAAAGTTTATCTCTCAGCACAAGAGTGGGATGACTAACAACAAAAAAAGTTATATCTCAATTTTTGTACATATCATTCTGTGTTTTACAGCTTTGTCTATGATATACAGCAAAAGTGCCTAAGGAATGTCATATTAGAGTTCATGTAGTATCTATAGAGAGAAGAATGCTAATTGAGTACAATGACACCACAATTTCTAAGGGTGATTTCAGAGAACAAAACCATGAGGAAAACTAACATTATGTGTAAGAAACATTATGTGTAAGAAACTAACATTATGTGTAAGTTATGTGTAGTTATACATAACTAACATTATGTGTAACAAATTCACAAATTAAGTAAGTTCACAAATTAAGTTCATGATATAAACGTCTACCCTTTCCCCTTTTATTTAGTCATTATCGAGTTATTATCATATGCCAAACACCGTGCCCAACGGAGGGATTTACAATGGAGAACAGTGCAAAATGATTTCTCCCTCATGGAAGACACGTTCACTATTTTGGCTGCCACCGTCTGGATATCATGCCATTATCTAATTTGCCAGCCCCCTTCATCAATTATAGTGGCCAGAAGGGAACATATTATAGACAGTATTAAGACTGGGACAGAATGCAAAAGGATTATTTTCTATAATAAGAAAATTACACTTTTAAAATACAGTCTATGGATGTTCTTCTTTACATCAGACGTACCATACTATTAAGATTGAGTCTGTGGTTGGCTGCAATCTCTGTATCACTCTTACATATGCTTTGGTCAAGTGATAACTCTACAACCCGTATACTTTGGTTGGTTTTTTAAACTTGGATATGAAACATTATGCCTTTCCCTATCCCCTGTTTAATTTCTTGTTCATGTTAAGCTAATAATCCAGCCTCTGAAGATTACTTTAAGAATTAAAGTACATTAAGGAATTACTGATATCATTAGTGTGATAATGTGATAAGGTTTTGTTTATTTATAAGGGGTCCTTCTTTATAAGAGGTATATAATTTGGAATTTATAGATCAAATCATACAACATCTCAAATTTGCCTTAAAATATCCCCTCTAGAAGGAAAACTGGGGTGGGCGGGAGTTAAAAAGAAAAAACAAGAACAGTAAAATGTAGACAGCTGTTAAAGGTGGGTGAGGTTCAATATACTAATCTACCTTTATGCATGCTTGAAATTTTCCATAATGAAATGTTAAAATAAAATGATCATTTTGAATCCCAACCCATTCCGAATCATCTGTCATCCAATGGCATTCTCTCCAGTACTATTCTTTTATGTATACATTTAATAAAAGAGAAAGAATCATAAAACCAACCACTAACCATTACGCCAAGACATTTCTCCCCATTTCTAACTCCATTAAAAATACTCTCTGTATATACTTATTTAACCACCTGTACATTCACCCCTGAGTATTATCATTTTTTCTCATGGTACACTAAGGTATCCCTTCCCTGACATTAGGGGGTGCTAAACTAACAACTAAGTCACTAAATATAGCTTGTGATACATACATAGATAGCTAATAATATGACTAATATGAATAGGGAAATTCAAGAATTAATTATAATGAAGTAATTAAGAATATTTAGTAGTGTAAATGGAGCCTCTCTGGAATCCCAAAGTATTATAAATTAGGACTTTCTGAGAGATGTTTTAAATGTTTAAATTAGCAATATGCACTGCTAAAACACTGCATTTCTTAGCCTCCCTTGCAACTAAATGTGATAGGAGCATAAATCATTATATAGAGTTTGGTAGGGAGGGTGCAAACTTGTTAAAGAAGGCTTGCTCATCTGAAAGTGTTATGTTAACTCATCAGCTCCTCCTCCTGGACTCCCCTTCACTCTAGCTCCTTCTGCCAGCCTGGAATACTCATGTGCTCACTGGAACTCCAGGTGCTAAACTGGAGCCAAAAGGACCTTGAATCGTTTTAAGAGAAGCCACAGGCTATGTATAGATAACGGAGTCCAAAATGACTGTGTGGAGCAACCATACTACCCTTACACTGCCTGGTACAACATTCCTTTCATGTAAGATTAAAACATCTATTTTGCTTAAGACATTTATTTGAGTGCTATATATATAGAGAGAGAGAGATAGATAGATAGATCTCCACACAACTGTATATATATACTGTATACATAAACACAGTTGTATATAGTTGTGTATATATATAACTGTACATATATACACAGTTGTATATATACAGTTGTGTATATATAACTGTATAATACAACTGTATATATGTATATGTATATACAACTGTATATACACAACTGTATATCTACACTATACATATATACATATACAACTGTGTATATATATAAACTGTATATATACACAACTGTGTGCATATATATCTATACAACTGAATATATATATATAAAACTGAATGCAATTAACAACTGATAAACAGGGTTTTAAAAAGGGTTTAAAAAGTACTACATAATCAATGTTAACTGTAAACACAAAGTTTTAAATACATTTTTCACAGTATATACATTATTCAGGAAGACTAGTCAAAACAATAACTTACTAAATGTCTTTTTTTGTTTTTTAAGACAGAGTCTCACTCTGTCACCCAGGCTGGAGTGCAATGGTGTGATCTTGCCTCACTGCAACCTCTGCCTCCCAGGTTCAACCGATTCTCAGGCCTCGGCCTCCCACATAGCTGGGATTACAGATGCGCACCACCACACCTGGCTAATTTTTGTATTTTAGTAGAGACGGGGTTTCACCATGTTGCCCAGGTTGGACTTGAACTCTGGATCTCAGGTGATCCACCTGCCTAGGCTTCCCAAAGTGCCGAGATAAGGCGTGAGCTACTGCACCCAGCCACTAACTTACTAAATTTTAAGGGAACTGCCTGGTAAATCCCTTATTTCAGAAAATAAATATATTATTTTTCATATTGTTAAGTAAGCTGCTTGAGTACTCATTAGCTTTAAAAAAAATCAGTTTATTACCATCATCATTAAAATGAAATATCACTTTTTAAATATTTCCTAGTATCATGAAAATTACTCCGACATATGAAGCTTGCCTCCTCCCACCATTTCAATAACAATGTAATTAAAACTATTTGTTTTTAACAATTTCTAGGTTATAGTTGGGGGAAAGGCCATCAAAATAAACTATATAAACATTCCAGTGTTTTGCTTGGGTAATGAAGATAGACTCTGTAATTCTAATTCCATCTGAAATCATACAAGGAAGGTACTCTAATTATTTTTTGACTCATATATTCCACACCTTTAATAATGTAGTTTAAAATGTCACAATAGACTGAATACATGTGCAACGGGTCTTTCAAAATACATAGTGGCATTTTAGAAACAGCTAAAAGAAAAATCTGTACATAACATAAAAGAAAATGAGAAGAGAATCAAAATATTTCATGATGAAAATATCAACTAAAAATATAAACTTGTAGGACTCTCACTTCCGGATTTCAAAACTCACTACAAAGCTATAGTAATCAAAACAGTATGGTAATAGTATAAAGACAGACTTATAGACCAATGGAATGGAACTGAGAGTCCAGAAATAAATCTTCACATCTATGTCCAACCGATTTTTTTTAACTCGCCTCAAAGGTAAATTCCTAAAAAATTTACTGACCTCCAGTTCAATGTTCTAGCAGATAACATGGAAGTCCAGTTTAAAAGAGGAGTTTACAGAAACCAGGAATTATCTTCCTTAGAGAGATCCATCTGCTTGAAAACCTTTTGGTGAAAGCTACTGGGAGGTTAAGAGTAACAGTTTCTATAACTGAGTCCTTTTGGTAGAAGACTGAGACACAGCCAAGCTACTCTGATGAGGTAGTAATTTTGAGAAACACAGTTATATTCCACAGAGATAATAAATAAAAGCTGTCACTGCCCATAAATGCTCTGAGTCTACAGATGAGGTACACCTTTCTTATACAGACTGAGATTAAATTTGGTAACAAAATCTTTTCAAACTGCAGTTCTATTTTTTTTAGCACACCTACGCCACTCAGACTAACTAAACTATACATTAACGAAAGAACAGAAGATATACCCCAAAATGCTAATATTTAAACTCACTTTCTGCCAAACACCGAATGCCTATCCAAAATGCTGAGTGATTTAAAAATATTATTCCTGGGCTGCGCACAGTGGCTCACTCCCGTAATCCCAGCACTTTGGGAGGTCGAGGCGGGTGGATCACCTGAGGTCGTGAGTTTGAGAACAGCCTGACCAACATGGAGAAATCCCGTCTCTACTAAAAATACAAAATTAGCAGGATGTGGTGGCGCATGAGTGTTAATTCCAGCTACTCGAGAGGCTGAGGAAGGAGAATCACTTGAACCCGGGAGGCAGAGGTTGCAGTGAGCCAAGATCGCACCACTGCCCTCCAGCCTGGGCAACAAGAGGGAAATTCTATCTCAAAAATGAAAACAAAAACAAAAATATATATATATACACACACACACATACACATACACAAAAGTCTCTTTTTTTTGACTAGTGCAACTCATATTAACATACAACATGCTTCATAGCCACCTCTATACTACTCTGGAAAGGATTCACATTTGAAAAAAACAGAGGCTCCAAATGGTAAGGCTGTCTGAGGTCATCTGCAAATTAGCAGGCACCAGAAATAGAATGTGTTTTCTCTTAATCCAGACCTTTAAGCTTTTCCAATAGAGGGCTGCTACGCAGTATCCCAACCACTACTGAATGTGCCTTCCAACACTAAAAGAAAGATCACGGTCCTAATATAAACCATAAGCAAAGCAGTGCCTAAACATCCTAGTGTTATTTCTTCCATCTTCAGGTATGAGTTTGGCAGGTTCCCCAGCATGATCAAAGCGTCTTTCAAGCAACCCAATACTTTTCTTCCCTTGTTCTCTTTAACTGAAGAATGACACCTTACCCTGCAAGAGCTAAACTTTACCCAGGCTCCATAATGGTTATGAAAGAGGCCTCAGAAAAGGCACAGCAGCCACAGTGCTGCCCAATATAAGGGCTGGCATGAAATAGCAGGGGAGGAAAAACCAAACTGGTCCTCACAAGGTTCTTAAGTAGTCCAAAGAAAATTCCAAAGAAGAAAAATTCTCTTGCAGCTGAGAGGTGAAGGAAGTGGTTATCACAGAAATGGGCAATATGTGTAGCAAATATTTACTGAGAGCCTATTACATGTTCTTCTGGGGGTTGAGGATATAGTAGTGAAGAAGAATAAAAAAAGCAGGGAAAACACTGCTGGCACAGGGAACAATAACTGACAAGGATGTTTAATTTGGGAAGGGGAGTGGGTAGAAAGGGAGAATGTAAGATGGAGGTGTGGTGATCTGGTAATAGCTTTGGAGTCAAGCTGACTTCGGTTTGAATCCTTACTCTACCACTTAGCTAGCTCTGGGTTGGACTTCCGAGTCATCTTAAAATAAAAGGTGCCAGCTGGGCGTGGTGGCTCACACCTGTAAACCCAGCGCTTTGCGGGGCGAGGCAGGTGGATCACGAGGTCAGGAGATCGAGACCATCCTGGCTAGCACAGCGAAACGCTTTCTCTACTAAAAAACACAAAAACAGCCGGGCGTGGTGGCGGGTGCCTGTAGTCCCAGCTACTCGGGAGGCTGAGGCAGGAGAATGGCGTGAATCCGGAAGGCAGAGCTTGCAGTGAGCCGAGATCACACCACTGCACTCCAGCCTGGGTGACAGGGTGAGACTCCATCTCAAAAATAAATAAATAAATAAAGGTGCCTTCGTGGCATTGTGAGAACTGAATGAGGTTAACACATGTAAAGCACTTCACCAGTGCCTGGGCTATAATAAGCAGTCTGTAAGTGAGAATTGTATCTCCTTTTGTATGTCACCTTGTTGATCCCAAAGCCTAGTAAAGTCCCTATAATCTCTTGGAGGATTGGGGCATGCCGACAGACCAAATCAATGCATGAAAAAATAAACAGATATAGAGAGAAAGAGGGCAGAAACTGCAGGGAGGTGGCTGGGTGCAACATAAAACAGACATTCTAACAGTAACACAATGGACTTCCTAAGAAGAGCACAAGAGGAGAACATGAGTGATAGGCACCTCTACATTCAAGTGTCTCAAGGAAGGAAGCACAAGTGGGAAGATGGGAGGAATGAAAAGAGACCTGGGTGAGGAGATGGGAGGCTCCCCTTTTGGAGAAATCCCCTCAGATCACCAGGCCATGAGCCATTTGAACATAACCACCTCCTGTCTCTGTGTGGACTACCAATCAATGGGGAAAGAACAGTCTCTTCAACAAATGTGCCCAAACAACTGAATTTCTACATGTATGAATTTCGACATACATGAATGAAGTTGGGGCCAGACGTAGTGGCTAACACCAGTAATCCTAGTACTTTGGGAGGCTAAGGCAGGCAGATCACTTGAGGTCAGGAGTTCGAGACCAGCCGGGCCAAAAGGGTGAAACGCCATCACTACTAAAATTACAAAAAAATTAGCCAGGCATGATGGCACATGCCTGTAATTCCAGCTACTAGGGAGGCTGAGGCAGGAGAATCACCCGAACCTAGCAGGCGGAGGTTGCAGTGAGCCAAGATCACGCCACTACACTCCAGCCTGGGCAACAGAGTAAGACTCTGTCTTTAAAAAAAAAGGAATGAAGCTGGCCTCTTACCTCACACCATTATAAAAAGTAACTCCAAATGAATCCATGACCTATACATAAAAACTAAAACCATAAAACTCTTACAAAAACCATAGGGGTAATCTTCATGACCTTAGAGTTGACAATGGATTCTTTCATTTCACACCAAAACAAAAATAAATATATTGGACTTCATCAAAATTAAAAACTTCTGTGCATCAAAGAAAATTATCAAGAAAGTAAAAAGACAACCTACTGAATGAGTGAAAATATTTGCAAATTATATATCTGATAATAAGTTAATATTCAGAATATATAAAGAACTTTTACAACTCAACAACAAAAATAATTAGAAAATAAAATGTGGCATACATATACGATGGGATATTATTCAGCCATAAGAAGGAATAAAATTCTGATACATGTTACAGTGTGGATGAACCCTGAAAACATTATGCTGAGTAAAAGAAAGCAGATACAACAGGACAAGTAAGCATAAGCAAATTCAAAGAAACAGAAAGTAGATTAGAGGTTACCAGAGTCTAGGGAGAGGAGGGAATGGGAAGTTATTGGTTAGTGGGTACACAATTTCCATTTAGGGTAAAGAAAAAGTTCTGGAAATAGTGGTGATGGTAGCAAAACACTGTGAATGTAATTAATGTTACCAAACTGTACACTTACAAATGATTTAAATGGCAATATTCACAATATATAGTACTACAATTTTTAAAAATTTATTTTAATCCATATATTATTCTTAAGTAATTTTTGGTATATGCTAAAATTTAGAGAAAACTACAATAATAATAATAATAATATAATACACTTGAGGACTTCTTTTGTTCATGTGTTATCATATACTATATTTTCTTAAATGTAATATAACATTTTTATACTCAATATTCCTAGGTAAGCAGAAAAGAAAATATTTTTATGATGTAGAAATACTACTATGCCTGAAATAAAAGGTTCTTATTATTCCTGAGGGAAAAGATTCACCTCAAAAAAATATACTAAAAAATGTTGACATTTAAAAACTTACCTCAAATTTAAACCACTCCGAGTTCCACTGAGGGTTGAGTGACTTAAGGTACACATCTGTTTTAAAGGTAGTATTACCAAATTTTACCTAAAAATGAATAAGAAATTATTCACATATAAATATCAAAAATGTGAATAAAAGTAAATGTTAATGTCAGCCAACCAATAGAAGGATTAACCATAAAGGGGACAAAAGACTATTATCCTCTGAGACAAAGGGAAGAAAGTACAGATGGATCCAGGTAAGCTTGTAGACTATACCTACAACAAGGGATTACACACTGTTCTGCTTGACCAGCTCCACACATCACAAAGAACTAACTTCCCCCATTTCTAAAGAGCACGTACAGAGCAATAAAAGATCAACAACCCAATAGAAAAAATAGGCAAAGGATATGATCAGACAAGTCACAGAAATGGAAATACAGCTGTCTTTAACCACATCAAAAGATGATCAACCTCATTCACACTAAGAGAAATACAAACTAAAATATTTTTACTTATCAGGCTGGCAAAGATCAAAAGGTTTGAACACAGAATTCGTGAGGTACTGTCATACTTTGCTGGTAGGAGTGTAGAAAAATCTCTACAGAGAACAACTTGACAACATATACCAAAATTTTAAATGCCTTAAATCCCTTTTAAGCTAGCAATTCTATTTCTTAGAATTTATCCCACAGAGATATACAATGGCATATATCAGCTGCATTACTGTAGCAAAAGCTTGGAAACAAGCTAAATATCTATCAATACGGAACTAACTAAATTTACGGTAAAGCAACACAATGTAGCACTAAATAGAATAAAGCAGTTCTCCATGCACTGATAAGGAACAACTTCCAAGATACACCTTTCTACTGCAGATATATGGCATTCTTCAGCAAAAAAAAAAAAAAGGACAGAATTTATATAAGTATATGTCTATATATGTGCACATTATTTCTAGAAGTATATACAAGAAACAGTAACAGTGGTCACTAGAAAGAGCAGAGGAAAGGCTGGGAGAGAGAAGCTGACTCATTTTGTACCTTTTGAATTTTGAACCATGCATGATACTACCTATTTTAAATGCATTATTTTAAAATTCAAAAACATCAAAAATTAAAATTCAAATGGCAATAACTTCATGTTCATTCAAATTGCACAATCCTAGATTTGCTTCCAGGAATTTTAACCTACAGAAGTACTTTCACCTAAGCCCCCCCCCCCCCACCAAAAATATAGTCATTCAGCAGGAAAGTGACTGAATAAATCATGTGCCCCGATAAAGAATGGAGTCGATTATACATACTGTCATGAGAAGATATTAATTACACAATAACTGAAAAAATAAGTAGCAGAATATATAAAGTAGGATTATATTTGTTTCTAAAAATGCAATATAGATATACAAGTATTTTTTTAAGGGGATGAAGAAAAGATTAACATAAACCAAAGAACTGACAGCAATTATCTCTGTAGAAGGGACTGATTGGGTGTAGGGAATAGAGTACAGTGTTGTAAGAAGAAAGTAAGGGGTTTTCAAGTTATATTTGAGTGTTTGAATCTTTTTTAATGGGGAGCATTCAAGTATTACTTGCATAATTTTTAAAATCACAACAATAAAGAAATGAAACTTAATAAGGAAAAACTTAGGGAGAATAGAGGTTCTTGCTTAATTACTAATTTAATTTTCATTCCATTTCAATATTCAAGGCATGATGGAAATACTTACTGTCTAATTTATCTAAAGTTGCTTTATATGAAGTAAAATACTGTTAGGATTTATAAAAATATTCAAAATCATTCAAAAGCCAAATATACTTAAGGGTTTTGGCTCAACTGCCAAAAGTAGCACATGATTTTTTAAGTGACAAATTTAAAGCACTCTACAGTTTTGTCCCACTATAACAGTTTTGCTATACTGTGCCTTTTTGTTGTTGTGCAACTGTTCATTCTAAATAAAGATGTGATAGTCCACAAACTGCATTAAACAAACAAAAAAGACTTTAGAAAAAAGGAAAAGGCATCAGCCAGGCAGGGTGGTGCGTGCCTGCAGTCCCAGCTACTCAGGAAGCTAAGGCAAGAGGACTGCTTGAAGTCAGGAGTTCAAGGCGGCTGCATTCAGGCCTGAGTGACAGAGCAAGACCCAGTCTCTCAAACAAGTAAATAAAGGACAAGAAACAAAAAGAAAAAGGCTGGAGTGTGTATTTTGCCAACATTGGATGATTTCCATTCTAGCACAGGAGAATCTCAGTTCACTTAGTCTTATTTAATTAAAAGGACATTTTATTACTCAGCAATTAAATGAATGCCTTATAACTTTGTTAAAGAACATCAGGGATGTTAATGGAGATCTTCCCCAGTAAAGTAAAGCATTCTCTTTACCTACTCATTAGCTAAATTACCTTGAGAAAGTTAGTAATCTGTTATTTAAATTGGCTTCTTCCTCTGAAAAGTGGGATTAAGTGAGCATTACGTGATACAACGCATGTAGAGACCTAGCAAAATGTATGTACGTAGGAAATATTCATTAAATATTTATTTTCCTCTCCCTGTTCCCTCAAAGGTTCCTGGAAAAACACAAGATGACAATGCAGTTTAGCCAAACAATTGGTAACACACATTAATATTGAGATATATTTCCATTAATACTTCCCTTATTCAGAACCCCATCTTACTCTAGAGATTCCTGCAAGACTAATCATCTTTAAGTATTACTTGGTCTTCGCTGGGTCCCTACACTCCTGACATCATATATAGTGGAAATTCTCTCAATCAATGCAACCAGGACCAATACTTGATCAGTTAATCAAATAACTTGGTTAAATTAGAGGATCACTAAAAATAATACAAACTGTAAACATTTTAAGATAAAGCATATAAACAAACATTCATTCCTGTCTTTTAATTTAAGGCTAAGACTTCTTTGCATAAAAGTCAACTGTTCAGTCATCTTTTTTGCATAAGCCACATTCATCTCTGATTTCCAGTTTGGGATGCTTTAAAAAGCATGAACAAAGAATACTCTATTTTTTACAATCTTTTCTCCACCTAATTCAAGAGTAATTTTTAGTGACCATTTTCATGTCTTTACATTCACTAATCCTCTATTTTTTACAATCTTTTCTCCACTTAATTCAAGAGCAATTTTTAGTGACCATTTCCATGTCTTTACATTCACTGATTTATATAAGCTTTAAATAAAATATAGTAACAAATACAGTTGACATAAGCAGATTTGGGAATAAACACAACTGCCTTTTGGTAAAGTATATCAGCCAACTGATGGGAAACTCCAGGCACACTAGAGTAGTCTTACCCAGAGGAGTATTTACGAATACGCTTTATGGAAGGAATGCAGAGCACTGAGGATTGCAATGAGTCAGTTAATGGAAGTTGTTAAGAGAGCTTCAACTGTATAGACTTCTCCTCCTAATTTTTGGACTATTCAGTAATCTGTATCCCCCTTTCCTAGCCAGATTTATTTCCCACTTCTGTTCAACAAGAATCCTCCTTCCGATTACATACGAATGAAATTCATTCAATTGAAATACATTCAATTACATCGATACATACCCTATTTCTTCTTTTGCTTTTATCAAGTTTGTGCTAGTCACCTGAAAATTTTTTCTTCCTTTTTCTCTCTGCCTTTGGAAATTTTACCATCCTCTAGGCCCAGGATAAAGGTTTCTCATGACTAGCCCACGCTTCATTATCTCCCTCTTCTGTGAACTTAGTCTATATCAAGCATTTTTCCCTTTATCATATTGTAATCCTTCATTATCCCCCTTTTCCTGCATTAATTTTTCCCCTTTCTACGGGATTATTCCTATTATCACACAAATAGTTTCTGTATCTTTTCATTTACTTTTTAAGTACTAAAACTATTTCTTAAATACCACACTATTTTTCCTCCCCCCTTCATAGCCATACACCTTGAAACAGTTGCCTATTCATGCTCTTTCTACTTCCTCACTTCCCATGTACTTTAATTCTCTTTAAATCACTACAGGATGGGATTCCACCCTCATCATGCCTCTTGTCACACCCCCATGTTGTCCAATCCAATAATTTTTCTGTCTTCTTACTTGACCCCAGTAACATCTGACAGTTGAGCTTCCTCTTTAAAGAAACTTCCTCTTTTGCCTTCTAAGACATTATGTTCCCCATTTTTCTCCCACCCACTGGCTCATAATCTCAGTTTCCTTCCCCTAGTCCTCCTCCTCTAATAAACCTCTTAATAACAAGTTTTTTCAAGGATTCATCCTGTTTCTCTCCCTTCCCCTAAGTCACAGGTTTGCAAAAAAGACAGAACCAACTCCTAAAGAAGCTTTAGAAATTTCTAGCAGTGTTTTTGTAGAAAATAGTAATTGCATTAAGTGAAGAAGGGCCAGAAATGCTAGGCATTTTTCAATGCAAGTGAGTTCCCAACAATGAAGACTTTTACCATGTCATGATTTTCAAATGTCCCACTAGACAATCACATGGGTAAGAAACCTACCTAGAAGGCCGGGTGCGGTGGCCCATGCCTGTAATCCCCGCACTTTGGGAGGCCAAGACGGGTAGATCACCTGAGGTCAGGTGTTCAAGACCAGTCTGTCCAACATGGTGAAACCCTGCCTCTACAAAAATACAAAAAATTAGCCAGGTGTGGTGGTGTACCGGTAGTCCTAGCTACTCAGGAGGCTGAGGCAGGAAGATCGCTTAAACCTGGGAGGCGGAGGTTACAGTGAGCTGAGACAGCGCCATTGCATTCCGACCTGGGCAACAAGAGCAAAGCTCTGTCTCAAAAAAAAAAAAAAAAGAGAAAAAAAGAGAAAAAAAAGAAACCTACCTAGAACCTCAGTTTTAGAGATAAAAGTATTACAATCCGGTTTCAGTGTACATAATTGTCAAGAACTACAACCATCATGTAAATCAAGAGGCAACTCTGCTTTTTCCCATGAGTTGACTATTTTGAAAAATCAGATAACCAATGGCAATGAAGATCTGAGATGCCAAAACTACACAACTGTCTCGCTCTGTTTGAGAAGCAGTTATATTCACGTGATTTTCACATAGGCGCTGCACTGCCTATTCCGTGTCCCAGCTTTATTTTCTCCATATGGGGCATTTCTCAACATCCAGCATACTATATCTTTTATTTACTTACCTTATTTGTGAACTCTCTCCTCCCACTAAAATGTAAGTTCCATGACTCAAGTTTTTATAATTTATTGCTATAGCCCCAGTATCCAGTACAGTGTCTAATACATAAAAAGGTCAAATAAATATTCATTGATCCAGTATACTATATCTTTTACTTAATTATCTTATTTATGAACTCTCTTCTCCCACTAAAATGTAAGTTCCATGACTGAGGTTCTTTTAAATTTACTGCCATAGCCCCAGCATCCAGTAGTGTCTAATACATACAAAGGCTGAATAAATATTCATTGATTCATCTGATTACCTCATGTTTTCTATTATGGTCATGAAAAAGTACTTCCACATTAACATAATAACAACAGGCCGGCACGGTGGCTCACACTTGTAATCCCAGCACTTTGGGAGACCCAGACAGGTGGATCATCTGAGGTCAGGAGTTTGAGACCAGCCTGGCCAACATGGCAAACCCTCGTCTCTACTAAAAAATACAAAAATTAGCAGGGTGTGGGGGCGAGCGCCTGTAATCCCAGCTACTCTGGAGGCTGAGACAGGAGAATCACTTGAACCCAGGAGACGGAGGTTGCAGTGAGCCAAGATCACACCACTGCACTCCAGCCTGGGTGAAAGAGCAAGACTGTCTCAAAAAAATAATAATGATAACAACAACAACAACTTCTATTTCTCTGTCATAGTTAGACCATGATACTGGTTTGTTTTTAATTGTAAGAATACACAGGATATATTAACTAAAAAATATCATGCCAGGATAGAAAGGGTAAAATACCGGCTATTTAAAGGGAGTCCTGGGTCTCACAGGACTTGAGAAACACTGGCTCGTGTCCTCATTTTTACTCAGACCTTTTTTTTTTTGAATGCCACAGTCATAAATCACTTCCTTAACATCTCCAATTAAAGGCCCTACAGACATCACAAACCTAACATGCTGAAATGGAAAATGATCCACCTCAATCTTTACCATCTCCATGGAGTTTCAGAAAACCCAATACTTCAGAAAGCTAGGAGTCATCTTTTAATCTATCTTCAAAATACACCTGGAATTCATCCACTTGTCTGCATTACCAAACCCATCACCTTGGCCCATATCACCTGTTACTTGAACTATTACAGAATCTCCTAACTGCCTGATTTCTACTCTTTCCCCTTCAATTCATTCTCCATATAACAACAGTGCTCATCTTAACAAGGGCTTTTCAATGAATTTAGGGTAAAATTCAAACTGTTAATCATGGCCTTAGTCCTTGCAAGACTGGCTCTTTGATTAACTCTCCAACTTTATCTTATACTACTCTTCCCTTCACTGACTATGTGCCAGCCACAGGCATCTTCCTTCACTTCCTGAAACACACCAAATCTCTACATGAGATATCTGGGTTACCTTCTGTCCACCCACTCCCCTACACACACAAATATGCTCCCTCAGCAGCAGGCTCCTTCTCATCCACTAGATTCTGGGTTTGACAAACACTTTTCTCAGGGGCCTCCTCTGATAACTCAACCTAAGGTAGGTGTTCCCTGTTGTTCTCTTTCTATTGTTCTCTTTCATGGCACCCATCCCAATTTGTAACTATACATTTAATAATTTATTTACCTTTTAAATAATTTATTTACCTTTTTATTTAAATAATTTTAAATAAATTTAAAATTTATTTACCTTATTTACCTTTAAATTTATCTGTCTCTCCTACTAAAATATAAGCTGCATTAAGAGCAGGAACCAAGTCTGTCTTACTCACCATGTTTATCCATTGGCTAGACCAGTGACTAGCCCAGAGCCTGGCAAACAGCCGACACTCAATTTGTTCAAAGAAGGAAGTAGTAAGTAACCTGTGAATCAGCCCCTTCATCACCAGCAAAATCCACCTATCAAGGCCTGACAATTTTAACCTAAGAAATGTCCCACAAATCTTTCTGTTCAAATCCATTCCTATGCACATTCCCATATATTACTTGGATAATTTTACCACCTTCTTAATTGATCTCCCTGCCTGACTTCCCATCTGTCTAGTCCATCAATAGCATCCCCATTCAGGCCATCCTATAAAGAAACAAACTAATACAAACACGATCTTATTTTATTTCTGCTTTAAAAACTCCCCTGGCCAGGTGTGGTGGCTCAGGTCCATAATCCCAGCACTTTGGGAGGCTGAAGCGGGAGAGGCAGGAGGATGGATGGCTTGAGGCCAGGAGTTGGAGGCTGCAGTAAGCTGCATTCCAGCCTGGGCAACAGAATAAAACTTGTCTCTTTAAAAAAGAAAGAAAGAAAAAAAAAAGTTTCCTTGTCCCTCCTTATAAATATTACAGAAAAGGAGATTTTATAGAAAATAGGGCTTTCCAGCCTCATCCTTAACAAGCTCCACTACCCACATATCTCATACCCTTTCCTCCAGACACATACCAAACTAAGGCAGTTTCCTGAACATACTATATATCCCATCCTATGACTGCCTTTGATGTTCCCTTTGCCCGGTAAAATCCTGGGTGTCCTTCAAGGCCCATTTCAAATGTCACTTTCACAGCAAGCCTTTCTCAACCTTCAGAGACAATTGTTTCCATATTCTAATACAATACTCATCACTTTGTCTGGTGAGGCTGTATTAGCAGAGCGGTTAAGAGAACAAACTGTCAGGCTATGGAGGTTTGCAAGCTATGTAACCTTAAGCAAATTATTTACCCTTCCCGGGCCTCAGTTACCTCAACCGTAACATGGGACAATAACAATACTCCTATAGTAGGACTGTTGTGAAAACTAAGAATTTAATAGTACTTAGCACAGATCAGGCAATTATTAAATTCAACACGTTACCTATTAATTATTAAATAGGCTGTGTGGGTCGATGTCTGAACTACCGGAAAGCAAACACTATGCTTCAGTTATTTGTGGATTCCTATTACCTAACATTTGGCACAACAGCACTCAAAAACTTTCTCCAATGAAGTGATTAAGAATCACCATGACAATGGGGAGGGGCAGTGAACTGCAATTTTTAGGTTAGAGAACACTTAGGAAACATCAGGAATATTGAGATGAAATCGGGCTATATATTATGATATATCTATCCATCAACTCTAAGCACTAATAGCCCAAATGATTACTGCTCTAACGCTCTGGCTCATCACGCCAATTTTTATTACAATCTTTACTTGGCTTCTTTCAGACTCTGGGTTATTACCTTCCGGGCCCTAGGCCTTTACTAATTTGCATGACTTTTAAACTAATCATTAGACTTAAAAAGCAATTTTGCAATTTAAGTCCATGGCAATTAATTGACTTCCTACCTCAAGGCGCTAAATTACTCTGAAACACCTCATCAGACCTACCAGTCTATGCAAGAGCAGGAAGTGTTACAGTTGTGTTTTAGAACGTGCATGGCAGATTCACAAAATGTTAGGCATGTGGGACGCACTGTGGGACTCCAAGTGTCCATAAAGGGATTCATGCACCTTCTTAAACATGATGTCCACCACTCTGGCCATCCCTTCCAAGGGTGGGTGGGGGGGTGTGTGTGTGTGTGTGTGTGTGTGTGTTTCAGTGGCTGTGGGGGTCACACTTTGAGATCTCCTAAGTGGCAGGTGGCCTGTTAATGAGTCCTGACATCAGAGTCACCCCGGCATTCGTGTGTGTGTGTGTGTGTGTGTGTGTGTCGGTGGCTGCGCGGCCACGCCTTGGGATCTCCTGAGTGGCAGGTGGCCTGTTAATGAGTCCTGACATCAGGGTCACCCCCGCATGCAGAACAGTACGAGCCTCCCCGCGCAGCGGACTGTGCCGCGGACGCCTGCAAGCCGTGCACCCATCGCACGCACTGAAGTCTCGGCGGTCATCCCTCGTGGGACAGCTGGACAATCACGGCCGACGGGAGGGCAGTCGAGGGGGGAATAGGCTGAGGGGCTGGGGGCGAGGTGGGTAGATCCTTCACAGGGCTTGGCGCTCCCTGTGTTTTGAGGGGCAGGACCCCGCACCAACCTCCACGAAGGCATCAGTCAGGTCACTTGCACGGTCCATCACTGGCAAATGGCGCCCAGCCACGATTTTCACCTTCAGCTTCCCAGGCATGGTCTCGGTTTCGGCCTCTTCTTGGGCTCCTGCAGAAACAAACAAACGAGTCTGCGCCGAGCGCGAGGCCGGCAGGAGAGGGGCGGAGGCGCGCGGGGTAACTGACAGCGACGGGGCGCGCGGGGGCGCGCGCGGGTGCCCGGCAGTCGCGCCGCAGGTCGCCACTCACTCAGGCAGGAGGAAGGGTGCTGTCCCACGCGGGTGCTGAGACCTCATTCCGGAGAGGCGGCCGGAGGAAGGGCTTTGCTGGGTTCTTCTGCCCCGGCCCCACAGGGCTGGGACGAGAAGCAAAACCCAGTCAGCATCCCATTAAGCCTCTGCCGCCGCTGCTTGTTTCTCTTCCCCCGCCCTCAAAAATGGCGGCTCTCAGGGCCCGAAGAAAGCATCGATCGTTCGGCGCTCTGCCCACTTGGCGGGGGTGAAACTAAACTCGCCGAGGAAAGATAAGGGGCGGGGCTGACTTTGAGAAAGCTGGAGGGCAGGGAAATGGGCCGAGTCCTGCATCATCCACCGAGTCGAGGCTGTGCATAGGTGCGGCGCTGCTTCCCTGGAGGGAAACGCTCCATCTTGCGGGCTGAAGCGCGAGTGCGGCTCTGTGACTTAGCTTCCGGCCGCGGCCTTCCCAGCTGCTAACGCCGCTTTTCGGATGGGCTGTGACAGATGGAGTAGCAGCGAAGGCTGCTAGAACAGCGTTTTCAGTCGGCCTTTAGTGACCCGTTTAGTGATTCGTAAAACCAAATTAACTGGTTTCTACTTGGAAGGGGTACAGTTGCGTGTGGTGGTTTCAGTTTTCTATGAAATAGAGTTAGATGGCGGGGCGCAGTGGCTCACGTCTGTAATCCCAGCACTTTGGGATGCGAGGCGGGCGGATCACCTGAGGTCAAGAGTTCCAGACCAGCCTGGACAACATGGCGAAACCCCATCTCTACTAAAAACGCAAAAATTATCTGGGGGTCATGGCAAGTGCCTCTAATTCCAGCTACTCAGGAAGCTGAGGCAGGAAAATCGCTTGAACCTGGGAGGCGGAGGTTGCAGTGAGCCGAGATCACTCCTCTGTCTCCAGAAAAAAAAGAAAGAGAGATACCAGGCACATCTCGAATAGTGAAATAAATATTATTTGGTGAAATTTTGTATTCAGTCATAGGCACTTGTATTGTTTACTGGGTCACAGATATTACTGTGGGCGGGGTGGGGGAGGTCACCTTGAAATCCAAAGTCGCCTCTTGAAAAAAAGTTTCTGCTGGTGGGTGTGGTGGCTCAGACTTGTAATCCCAGCACTGTGGGAGGCTGAGGCAGGAGGATCGACTGAGGCCAGGAGTTCGAGACCAGCCTCATGAAGAAGGAGCAACATAGTAAGACAGCTTCTCTAAAAGAAATGCAAAAATTAGCTGGGCCGGTGGCTCATCTGTGGTCTCAGCTACCTAGGAAGCTGAGGTGGGAGAATCTGGGAGAATTGCTTGAGCCCAGGAGTTTGAGGCTGCAGTGAGCTGTCATCTCACCACTGCACCCCAACCTGGGCAACAGAGTGAAACCCTGTCTCTTAAAAAAAACTTTTTTAATAAAAAAAAAAAGGTTTGCCCTGCACTCTTCGATCGTCACAGTGTTTTTCTTAAGCATCCGCAAGCCTAAAGATAAGACCTACCATGGAAAGTATAGTCAACCACAAGAAATGAACCCAGAGAGCATTAAACATCTTGAAGCATTGACTCAACTATACATAAAGTAAGGTGTTATCTACAGGGTCAGACTACATTAGGGAAATTGAGGCACACACGGGATATAACATAAACCAGTACTTACCAAATATCAAAATCAGCATTAACTGTATACCCAGTATCAACAAAATCAGAGCTCATGCCGGCTGAAAGAGTATAACCTTTCATTCCTAAGTGAAGATATCTGTATGATCTTTTTAACTTCAAAAATACTCAATAGAGTAGATTAAATACTCCAAACAGTAGTGATCCCGAATTATCTTTTCATGAACAAAAATTCCTTCTGTGACAGGAATATTGTTCACATACGTGAGAAGTTGAACTCCCACAGAGAAAACGACTTCCTCAAAATAAAAATCTAAAAAAATCGCTTGCTTTTTGGACTAGAGAAACTTTTATCAATTCGAACTATGTCAAAAGATAGGGGTCATAGGTCCCATGCAAATTTCCTTAGGTCCACCTGCAGCTTTTTCTGGAGTCTGACTCTACCCTTAAAATACCCTTGCCAAAATTCTGAAGGTTGACTACACTGTGTGATCAAGGTTATTTATTTATTTTGAGACAAGGTCTCTGTCACCCAGCCTGGAGTGCAGTCACAGGATCATAGCTCACTACAGCCTCAATCTTCTGGGCCAAGCATCCTCCCCTCAGCCCACCAAGTTCCTGGGACTACATGCACACACGACCAAGCTCTGCTAGTTTTTTTAATTTTTTGTAGAGATGGAGTCTCCCTGTATGGCCCAGGCTGGTCTCAATCCTGGCTTAAGCCATCCTCCTGCCTTGGCCTCACAAAGTGCTGGGATTACAGGCATGAGCCATCTTGCCCGGCATGATCAGTGTTGTTTGTTGTTTTTGGTGGTAGGGTTGAAATGGTTTTTGTGATAAAATAGAAGTATTACCATATTACCAACTCATTTTTAAAAATATGAAATGTATAAAGAAAAAAAATACTAGAAAAATGAAGTTTAGCACCAATATTAATGGAAAATAATGCATTGCATTACAAAATGTAATGTAAAAAAAAATTTGCAAATTGCACAATTAGAGGTTAGCAATCTCAGCCTCCTAATGAGTAGACTTTAAGGTACTTGTACATACTTGTTGCCTTAGGCTTCATCAACAAGAGATTATAATTAAGATGCTTCCTGAAAACTATTTTTAGTAGACTTAAGCCTGACTTCAGTTGAACTGTTTCCTAATAATTGTTCTCGTTTGTTTTAATTAATGCTGGGAACAGTGCTAACTTTCCTGACAAATCTACCATAATGTGACTCCTGATTACCTTCTTTAGCTTCATACCCTGCCACTCTTTTTGAATTTTAAATTAACAATAACAAGAGTTAACATGTATTATTGGTTTGCTGCATGCTAGCTACTGAATTCAGTTTCACAGCTTTAAGGCTCCCTAAAATCCTGAGGTAGGAATTATCAGCCTTCATTTTATAAATGAGAAAATTGTGGGTTTTCAAAGCTGTGGTGATTACCCAAGGTCACAAAGCTGCTAATGATAGAGGCAGGTTTTAAATCTAGACAATGTCATTCCAAGAACCCACCTCTTTAAAGATTACATGTAGTTTTCCAAAAAACTATACTTTTCCTTCTTCCTAGAGTATGTCTCTCATAGTCATCCTACCAAACACGTATGAATTCATAACTCAGTTCAAAAGTCAATCCTGTTTCTTTTTAGAGCATATAAATCTTTTGCCTTTTACAGAAGTCACTTCTACGTCTTCTCTGATCTCCTTCCTGATAAATATGCTCTTCACTCTCACCTATGCTACTACTAAATCTAATACATTTATTATTATACTTTCCATGCAATAATTATGTATCCATCTCTCCCCCCCCAACCCACTAAACCACGAGCACTCTGAGGGAAGGGATTGCTTCTTACTCATCTCTCAATTCTCAGTTCTTTGCCTTGTGCTTTTCACGTGATCAACAAATTATTGTGGAATTAAATTAACAGTTAATATGCATGCTATTACTACTTGGATCGCTCTTATTTACTGGCTTCCTAAAATGTTCCTGTTAATCTTTCCCATCCTTTCAAGGTTAAATTTCTCAAGGGTTGTCAGTACTTAATGCCCTCTCCTCACTTCCTAAGCACTCCAAAAACTATTAATATCTGGGTTTAGCCACCACCATTCTACAAAAGCAGCTTTCACTAATGCCATCAATAACCTCTGGTTGCTAAATGCAATGGACACTTTTTAGTTTTAAGTTTTTGTTTTTGAGATGGGGTCTTGCTATGTTGCCCAGACTGGTCTCAAACCCTTGGGCTCACGCAGTCCTTCTGCCTCAGCCTCCCAGGTTGCTGAGACTACAGGCACGTGCTACCATGCCTGGCTTCAGTTTTTTATTTACATGACTCTCAGTAGCATTTGATGCTGTTGACCACGCTCTCCTTAAAATAATCTTCCTTTTGGTATTCAGAAACCAAGCTTCTCTTACCTATTCTGGTTTATACATCTGTCTTCTCAGCCTACTCACTGTCCTTAACTATTAAATATGTGTTTTTCTCAGGTTCAGTTTTTGTCTCTATTCTCTTCCAACTGTACTCTCTCCCTAGGTGATCTCATCCATGCTCATAATTTTAATTTCCATCTGTTTAGCCAAGGACTCTCAAATCGTTATCTTTAGTCTATAACTCACTTCTGGGATCTTGACCCATATATGCAACTGCCAAGTTACTATTTCCATTTGTAGTATCAAAGTGACCTCAAATGTCAAGATGTCCAAAACTGACCTGATTTTCTTTGCCTTTCCCATAACCACAACAACCACAATGACAACGACAACAACAAAAGACCTGGGGGTCTTCTACTAAACAGCAACACCAACTACATAGTCAATTGCTCAAGCCAGAAACTCACTGATTTTAAGTTTGAAGGTGGGCTGGGATTAGAAGTATAATTATACAAATGACAACTTGGGCTCAGTTCAGTTACTTTCGCTTTGATTTTTTTTTCCTTTGGCACAGGGTCCCACTCTGTTACCAAGGCTAGAGTGCAGTGGCAAGATCACAGTTCACCGCAGCCTCAATCTCCCAGGCTCCCAGCCTCAATCCTCCCAGGAGGATCCTCCAGCCTTAGCCTCCTGAGTAGCTGAGACTATAGGCGCACACCACCACATCTGGCTAATTTTTATATTTTGGTAGAGATGAGGCCTCCCCATGTTGCCTAGGCTGATCTCAAACTCTTGGGCTCAAGTGATCCGCCTGCCTCATCCTCCCAAAGTGCTAGGAATGCATGTGTGAGCCACCGTGTGGCCCACTTTTGCTTTGGTTAAGGAGTAAAAATGAGATAAGTAGGCATCTAGGTAAACTCATCATCTTGTTAGTTCCCTTATATTTCATGAGGGCATACCTAATGTACCATGGGCATAAGGACCACATCAAGTAAAATATTCTCTAAATTGGAAGATTATTACAGTGAAAGACATTGCTTTTTTAGGAGTTTTGCTCTTGTTGCCCAGGCTGGAGTGCAATGGCGCAATCTCTGCTCATTGCCACCTCTGCCTCCCAGGTTCAAGTGATTCTCCTGTCTCAGCCTCCCAAGTAACTGGGATTACAGGCACCTGCCACCACACCCAGCTAATTTTTGTATTTTTAGTAGAGACGGGGTTTCACCATGTTGGTCAGGCTAATCTCAAACTCCTGACCTCAGGTGATCAACCCAACTTGGCCTCCCAAAGTGCTGGGATTACAGGCGTGAGCCACCACACCCGGCCCACATTGCTTTTTATCAGTGCCTATCAATGCACTCAGTGAGTCATGGTACTGAGATATAAATAGGCAGACACTTCCTTATTGGGTTAGCACCAAAACAAGTTCCCCTTATTCATGCTGGTACTGCAAAGCCTGCAGGTTTTCCATTTATGTCTACATAAGGACTTTGTGGAAACTCTAGTCTGAACTGAC